TTTAATCATCTGAAATTTCTGTCTCTTTTTACGACTGCCATTTTGAGTGTGAATTAGCATTTTGGAGGAATATCTTTGGCCATTCATTGATGTTTATGGTTATCATTTGAATGGTTTCATGGGTTACAATTTGTTCTATTTCTAATATAAATGATGGGATACTATAGTTTCTAAGCAAGAAGTGAAACATAAGCATTTCGAAATTCATTTTTTCCAATAAAGAGCACTTAACAGGGCTTAATTTCTAAAATTAGAAGTGTCGGAGCTCTATGAAAGGCCCTCATCAAAGAGGAACAAGAGTAAATAGATAAATAAAATTACTGTTAAACTCATTAATGATTTTAAAATTAAAAAATTAATTATTATCAAATCAATTAATAACTATTTAATTAATTTTTATGAATTGTTATTTAATCAGTATTTAATATCTCAGTATTTCGCTGTTATTGTACTCGCTATCAATTAAAGCACATTTAAGAACACAAATTTTCCTTCCTGCGAGGATAATTAACTGTAAGCATCGATAACAATGCACTAGATACGGCGGCATGGCGAGAAATATACGCGTTCCTAAACAATCTCCCCCAAATTTATTGCCCTTCTTAAAGGAAAAGGTTTCCACATGTGAGTGAGGGGACTTGACTTGAACGTCTCATGTTTTCATGAGTTCGTATTTTTAGGGAAATAGAGTATTGCAAGGTCTGCTTATTGTTAAACTAAAACGTTAGGAATTCTAATTTTTTTCCCTTAAAATTGTGGTTCAGTTACATAAAAGGAAGTACTGGAGCTCATCTTATTGAGTGCTCCGGTGCACTCCGGTTAGATTTGTAATTTATCTTAAAAATTGAGAAGTAGAGCCGGGCTCCAGTGGGCTCCAACGCAATTTAAGCACTGGCACTTAAACAATTTTTCCCTTTTGGGGATGTGAATTTTTTATTAAACTGTTTTAAATTTGGTGACTTATCAACATTTTGGCGACTTTAAGATCAGTTTCTATAGAAAATTTTTAATCTCGAGATCTGAGAATTTTTCGATGATTTTTTTAAAACATCGTAACATTGATAAATTTCATTAAAATAATGGTAATATTATAATTAAAATATAATATTACCATTATTTTATATTATAAGAAATTATATTTAAAAATAACATTAAAATAACAACATTTTATTTTTTGCTGAACATTTTATTTTTGCTGTCGTATTATAAAGTTTCACTTTGGCAACTTATTATACAATATTTTGAATCTGAAAAATAAACAAGGTATAATGCTATAAAGGCACAATTTACGAAATAGCTCTTAGCAAAAGCAAAATTAGCTATGTAATTAATTTAATATGTCTTCTTTTTAATTTTTTCATAGTAAGCGTTTTTCTCATGGAATTGTCTCAAAATATTCAAAATTCTCAGAATATGCATCAGTTTTCTGTATAAAATTAATTCTACACTTTTTCCTTCCTTTATTTTTTCCAAAGTATTTCTGGCTTTTTGCTGTTACAGAATTGGTAGGGATAATTTTTCTTTAGGATTTTAGACAGTGCAGCTTGGAAAGTTTAGAAGGATTTGAAGGCAAGATTCTGCAAGACACACAATTCTGGAAGATTCAAGAAATATGTGACAAAATGAAAAAATGTCTCCATGGTATCAACATGTAATGGATGTATTTTACAGAAAGCTTGCGATGAATTTCATACTTTTTGGAGAGTTTCTGGAAGAAAAATGAAAACATAATATTTGAATGTTTTACTTCTGATATTAGAATCTTTTTCTTAACATGTTTATCTTCCTTTTATTTTCTTTACTTTTCACTAGACACAAGGATGGAAAATATCAAAAATGCTTCTAATGTTATCACATGGGCAGACATTATAGAAAGGAATTTTTTTATTAATAAAGAAATTGAAAACTTACAATTTAAAAGATTCATCTAATATTTCTTAATGAATCATATACAGAGCTGGTACTAGGTATTTTCTCACCTGATGCAATTTCTGTGGATCCTAAATTCTGCTGCTTAGGGCCTTTCTAAATTCTGCTTCCAATGCCTGCTCTAAATTCTAAATGTTTTGCCATTTCTAGATTTTGTTGTTCGGTGTGTCACTAAATTCTAAAAATTCTGCCACACCAGCTTTGTAACCGGCCTTTACACTATTTCATATTTCTTCTGAATGTTCTTATTGCTAATGAAATAAAATTAGTCACTTTTTCTATACATTCTAAATACATTTAGTGTTTTTTAGAATAACAGAAATCCTTAATTAATTCCCAAAATTTTAAAATGGAAAGGAAATGTGTTGAAGAAAGAAACTGAATACATAAAGAAAATTATTCTTCAAAGATAGGTGCAGTTATTATTATGTAAATTACCCAATTGTTTATGATTTCAGCCTTTATTAAAATTTCCCATTTCTATTTCCTCATATGATAGAGTTACTGAGCCAGATTAAATTAAATTAAATTATATAATCTTTGAACACACTTTTAGTTTGAATTTGACTGTTCGTGTTTAATTACGTGGTCGTGAGCTGTAACTGATTTTGTTAGCATCAGAACATGCCTTTATGTTCTAAGCTCTTTTTAAATAAAAAATTTATTTAAACCTTTGTCTGATATTGCTGTTATTTTCAGCCATAGCGATAATTTGCTTCAGGTTTGTTGGGGGGTTTTGGACTATTTAACGTTTATCAGATCAAGTAAACCCACATAGGTACATTGCGGAGAGGTTGACAAGTTAGAAGATAAAACAGGCAGAAACTAGCACAAGCATTGGTTTGCATATTGAGAAAAATCTTGAATTGATAGAAAAGAAACTTAAATAAAAAGAATCCCATATAAAATAGCCAAAATGTTTGGGAAGGCTTCAAATTAAAATAACGGATGAATATTTTGTTGAGTGTTGTTGTTATAAAACGTAAATGTATCATAGCTTTTAATGTGTAATTATCCTAATATTGTTTACGAATCAATGTTATAAATTACATCTATTTTAAAGTGTGAAATTTTATTAGATTTTGATTTTAATAGGGCTATTTTAACAAATATTGTTAAAAAATAAAATTTAATAGTGGCCATAAATCCATAATGACTTGAGGTTATCTAACTACCTAATTTAATTACTTATAACTAATTGGTTATCCTTAAAAATTATCTCTACATATTATTGCCTTTCATTAATACTCACTGTGGTCACAAGATAAAACACAAAAATGTAAAAATTCATGTAAAACTTATTCTTTGCATCTATTGAGACTTAAAATAATACAGAACAACTAGGTACTTTAATGACTTATTGGAACCTTAAAGTATATAATTGGGTTACAACCCCTGGAATTCTACACGAAGCTACGGCATTAACTGCATCAAACAGATCCTGACTAACTTTCACTTTCAACACTTGCCAACCGTGCCTACATCAAGGCATTTCAGGTTTTTTCTAATCAGCAGGTCTCTCTCTAGACAAAGCAGCAGCGGTGACAACATTGAGTCTTTATGTTATGAATCATGCTGATTATGATCTTACTTCTCATTTAAGTAAACCCTCATAGGTATGCCATTTGACATAAAAATCTACCTGCTATTTACTAATGTATGTGGCCTAGGTTTATGTGATCAAATTGGTGACTGACCAAGTATGTGACAAACTGAGACATAAAAAAAAATCAACATAAAACAGCTAACTGTTAGTAAAATGTATATGTCACTTATGTTCTTTAAAATATGTCCAACTATTATAAGTGTGAAATATTTAATGCTACTTGATAAATTGCATAAAGTTTATTCTCAAACTTATTGATAATTATGTTGATTAATTCATGTTTAGTAATAATGCATACTACTTAAGGATCTATTTAATTTTTAGGATGGTATTACAGAAGTGAAATTTAGGCATAGATAATATTTTTAATTGAATTTATTCAGTTCGCATTTGCTCATAGGTCCTTAATTTTTTTTCATAAATGGTCTTTAAAAGTACTTAATTTCTGTGTGCAGAAATGTGTGCGAACCCTGATTACGGTTTCATATTTTTAATTGTATAATTTCTGCATATCATCTTACCAGATTTAAATTGATGATCTATAATCCGAAAAACCCTTAATCTGGAATCGCCGAAGTCCCGACGAGTCCGGATTACGGACTTTGTACTGTATATAGTAATTTTCTTTCAGACACCTGTCTTGTAAAAACCAAAATGACTTCACTTAAAACCTGGTTTGAAAAATATTAACTTTTTTCCTAAAATAATTTTTAAAACATTGTAATTTCTTTTTTAAGATTATTGATTAATTAATATTAAAATTTTGTCACAGTTTGCTAACTTTTTCTGTTATTTGGGGCTTGAAAGGGTTTGGATGGAGAAACTTCTTTTAAATGAGCTTAGATCCTAGTTTGATTGCAGTTTATTACATATTTAAATACAAAAATGTATATTATATTGTTAATTGCATGATGTTGCATTAAGGAAAAAAATTAATTTTAGTCGAATAGAAATAAATTGTCTGGTTTGCTTAGCACAGAAAATAACAATTTTTTTAAGTGTAACATTTGCTGAAATAGAATACAGTAATAGAAAAAGAATTCCTTCACTTGCGTAACAGTAAATGTATATCTGCCTAAAATGGAAACCAAATTTTATTTTTTTGAACATTTGTATTAGTCATTGTTGTAATTAGTCCAGGCTTTTAAAATTCTGTGCATTTTTTAGATTTATTATTATTATTATAACACGCCATTTGCATTTTAAAACTTTCTTGTGAACAATCTAGTATTGCAATCCCTTCTTCCTTTAGAGAGTGTACTTAATGCATAAAAGTATTGTTTGCATGACTTAAATGAAATTTTTCATGTTAAGTGTTTATCCCGCAGAAACAATTCAGCTCTTTTATTATATTATTTTTTTTCCTTGTTATGACTTTTTTATGTTGTGTGTATTGCTGCATTTCTATAAATTTCTTTCAGATATACAATTTTGTTTTCTGAATAAATTAAAAATCCAATTTTAGGCTATAGGATGCTTAGCATTAACAGAAATGGCACATGGAACTAACACTCGAGCTTTAAAAACTACTGCCACCTATGATCCAATATCGCAGGTAAAAACTTACTACTCTCTCGTTTGAATAATATACTTCTTCTTTTGTTTCTTAATTACTAAATAATTAATTCATATATTTTTGATATTGTAAATTTAATAATTCAAGCCCTCCCCCTGGTTAAAAAAAGAAATCTACAAACGATTTTATAAAGAACTCATAAGGTCATTAGTAAAGTTTAACAAATAGTGTTTTTAGAAAGAATAACTGTCTCTTTATCTTTTTGTAAAACCTTACTTATTATTAAACTTACGATTATTACTTATTTGCGATCAATAATTTTCATTTCATTCATGGAGAAAATATAGGATTTTTGCATTTTATTGAGAATTGCAAAATGTAACACCTCTTTGAGTAATCTTTCCTTCATAATTCAAAACTTTGCATGTTTTATTATGTATTAAAATATAGGTGTTATAACTAAAACATATTCCCTGTGTTATACAGATATAATAAAATACTTCTACTTCTAGATGCGATTCTCAAAAAATGTTGTAACATATTTTTTCAGGACTCTTGAAGTATTTTTGCATTTTTTACTTAAATTAAGAAAATCCTATTTACTATTAAGTAAAATGCAGCAAATCATTAATAGCTAATATTGAAAATAATTAACAACTTTTGTTATAGTTATTTATAATCTCTTTTACAGACTATTATTTTAATAAATCAAATTGGTAAATATTTGTCTGGAAACCTGTTTTAATTTGTCACTTGTAAATAAAGATGTTTCAGTGCTTGATTTTTATAAAGAATAGTAGAACAGTACCTGATTTTGGAGATGTTGTTGTACATTCATTTATATTGTATTATTGCATCATTATTTATATGTTACATTTTTGTCTGTTTGCTTGTTTTTAGGAATTTGTTTTAAATACCCCAAGATTAGAAGCTACTAAAATGTGGGTTGGAAATTTAGGTCAAACAGCCACTCATGCTGCCCTCTATGCCCAGTTATATACTCCAGATGGTAAATGTCATGGACTTCATGCATTCATTGTACCTATACGTGATCCTAAAACTTATCGTCCGTATCCTGGTATAACCGTTGGAGATATGGGACCTAAACTAGGTCTTGAAGGAATAGACAATGGGTATAGAAACTATTATATTTTATCTAATTTTTTTTAATGTTTGTAGTTAAGTCAAATTACATATATTTTAAATTTTTAATGCAGTATTTATTTTCAAATAGCACTATTTCATTAAATTTTTACAAATTTTTCAATATACAATCATTTCTGCAATTTTTCATTTTTTATTCTTAAGTCAGTCTACAATTCTTTTAGTGTATTAGATTTAGGGGTTTTCTCTTTTTAAATGAGCTAGCTAGACATTTTTTAACAACTCATACAGAAACTCTCCAGTATGCATTGTAGTTAGTCCTTTCAGTCTATCCTACAGCTTGTGATATTATCATTAAGCAATGTTCAGTACTATCACATAAGCCACTCAAATGTCAAAAGAATCACTGGGCAAAGCACTATGTCACCCAGGTAGGCAACCCAGAATTTAAAAAAAATGTATTTTATCTGGCTATTCACTAAATGCATGGAGTTATGGAATTTGAGGATTGTGTTTTTGATCTCTGCTTGTGATAAGTGGTTTTTTGGGTGGGGGCATGTGTGTGTGGAGAGAAAAGGAAAGAACGAAAGCAAAAGGACTGTTTTGAAGAAATTTTAAAGCAGATAGCTGAACAATATCCACTTTCTGTTAAAATGTAAATATTGTCTAGATTACTTTTCATTATTATTGTTAAAGTAATAAAATGCACATAAAAGGACGCATTTAGCTAGCTTTTATTTATCTCCGATGTTATATTATTATAGAATTCTTGTAGCTCAAAAGAAGTTTACGAGCTATTCTTAAGTGATTATGATAATAGTTTTCTCTGATCGCAATTAATCGATTGCCAATATTTTGAGATGTTTGGGTGGATAATGTGATAGTGCCTAATGTTTAAGAAGAATTTACTAAATTTTATTGCATAAGGGAGAAGAAAGTGGAATTTTGCAATGAAAAGGTATATCTGCTGTGAATGCTGCTGAATGATTACTACATATCCTGTCATCAAATTCTTTATAAAAATCAAAAGTAAGGGAAAGAAAAAAATTATATTTAAGGGAGTGATTTTGCTGCCAATATTTATTGTGTATTATATTATTATCTCTTGCCCAATCAAAATAATTGTAAACCAAAACTTAAAACTGAAACTTTTACCTCCCTCTCTGCTTCCTTTGCATTATTGTTGCATCACTCTCTCTTCTGGCTTATATTTTCATCTAGTTAAGATGCTTTGCTGCAATCATCTATGCACTGCAATGACCGCTTATACCAGTATAGTATCAAAATTGTAAATGTTCTTTAATAGGCACGAGTAGAGTGCCAAGTGAATTGTGGCCACAAAATGTGGATTTAAATAAATACAGAATTTAATCCGGCTTGACTGCTTCTTCTTTAAAATGGATGGATGCTCTAAGCATCAAATATCTACGCTATCAGTATTTCTGTGCATTTACATTTCAGTGCTCTTACATCAATGCTTCCAAAATTTGTGCTATTATTACATATTGTTGTGTTTTTCTTCTTCTTACATACAGTACAGGTTCGCGGATTTGGAGTGAATAACGACGACACTTGATGAAGTATCAAAACATACTTTATTGGCCAGTATTATTCAAGACAGCTCCAATAACATGTTTACAATCATTGAAGAACCAGTATAAACATGCTAGAGCAGTCAACGACATAGCCATCAGGCTATAACAATGAAGACAGCTTCACAGCAAAGCACCAAAGTACAGTTCCCGACTCGGTTAATTTGTTCTCTGAACTTCACATACTCTCAAGAGTCTCTGCTATCAGGTTATAACAGTGAAGATAGCTTGATAGCAAAGCACCAGAGTACAGCTCCTGACTCTGCTTGGTTGTTCTCGGAACTCTGCATACTCTCGAGACTCTCCACGCTACAACTCGTGATGCACTCGATAATACATAAGAGGCAACTAAAGACTCGATTCAGTTGTTCCCAAAGCTCAACACACTCTAAGATGAAACTCGACGATACACTGAGAGATTCTCTCGATGCACTCGATGACCAACTCAGCATTAGACTTACTAAATTCGCGCACTGACAAGTACACTCACTCACGCACTGACTCAACTGTCAACTCGATGGACTCCTGCTAACTAGCTCATGTACCAGCAGAGTTTACATAACTTTTGGCTTGTGTTCAAGAACATTCTGGACTAAACCAGTAAGAATTCGTTCCAGAAAATTCTCCATTCGTCTATGGCATATCGCCAATTTTGTCGCCAAATGGGGCGACCCTGCTTTCCCTTGCCATTTTCTGGCAACCCTAAACCTGCTGTGTGGGGAAGCTATCCTACTTCGCCTGGACAATATGTAACACTATCCCTCCCAAGGACTGCACGTCCTGGTCAGTACAGTCCTTGATCAGAAGCATAATTCGATACAGGTTAATAAAACAAACAAATAACATAACTAATGAAACAAATATTTACACTATGTACAAGTTATATACACAAATTAATCATACACAATTTAAAATTTTTGTAAAATTAAAGTTCTGAATGAATTTCAGTCTCGGTCTTTTCATTAAGTTATACCTACAAATACTTTTCCACTGCAGTTCTCAGATGTATTTCTGATATGTATATCATAGTCTGAAGATTCAGTCCTTTCCAACTTTTCTTCACAGAAAGATCTGAAACAACTTGTTGACATCATGTGTACAGTTCACCTGAGTACTTTTAGCAGATGGTACATGCTTATTTACCTCTATTTTCTGAAAGCCAGTTCCGATGTCTGCACCAGGGTCATGAATAGAATCCAATCCTTTACAAGCAGAAGTATCCAGGTTTAGAATCAAATCTTTGTAAAACCTGCACTATGAGGCACACATCCAGTTTGTGAAGTGGGTGAATTTTCTTGTAGTACTGGAGTGCACTACTTAAGCTGCACATCAGATTCTTGCATCTCTGCATCACATGCACTTTCAGAAGGTTCAACACTTGCTGCCTGCGACTTCGTAACTTCATTATCAGTTTTGACGAACTTAACAGTCGCATTTTCACTTTCTTCCACTTCAGACACTTGAGAATCAAAAGCTTCTTTCATGTCTTTTATTTCTTCATGTTTTCGTTCTTTTCTTTTAATCCCATTAAATGTTCCATCCATCATTTCCTGATCTTTCTCAGGCAGTTCGTCAGCTACTCCCTTCATTTCTTCATCCTTGGATTCTCCAGATGCCACTACTTTCATTTTCACATCTTCTGTTCTGGCTTCATTATCTTCTGAAAGCTCCACTTTCATCTGTTGGAGTTGCTCTCGCAGCTTTTCTTGGCCAACTTTTATTCCGCCTTGTGCAGCTTTCATCTCTTCTTGTCCAGCTTTCTTCTCTTCCAGTCCGGCTTTCATATCTTTCAGTCTGGCTTTGATCTCAGCCCTTATCTCTTCTGATCCAGCTTTCATCTCTTCCGATCCAGCTTTTACAACTGCTTGAGATGTCCGTGAACTTCATTTCCTCCACCATGGCTTTTATCAGCATGTGGATCGCTGGCATTCACCCACAAATCCCACTTCTGATACCAGTTGTTACGTTTTTATTCCTTTACGTTCGTATGGGGTTCGTTGATTTGGAGTGAATAACGACGACATCTGATGAAACATCAAAACACACTTTATTGGTCAGTATTTTTCAAGAGAGCTCCAAAATCACGTTTTACAGTCGTCAAAGAACTACTATAAACACGCTGAAACAATCAGCAACACAGCCTTCAGGGTATAACGGTGCAGACAGCTTCACTGCAAAGCACAAGAATACAGCTCCCGACTTTGCTCGGTCGTTCTGGAAACTCTACATATTCTAGAGACTCTCCACGTTACAACCAGCGATGCACTCAAAGATACACAAGAGTACAGCTCCCGACTCGGTTCAGTCATTCCCGGAGCTCAACGCACTCTAAGATGAAACTCGATGGTGCACTAACTCGCGATACACTGAGAGACTCTCTCGATGGACTCCCACTAATTTTCGCAGCAGGGTTTATATAGCTTTTGGCTTGTGCTCGAGAACGTTTTGGGCTAAACCAGTAAGAATATTTTCCAGGAGGTTCTCCATCCATCTATGGCATATTGCCAATTTTGTTGCCAAGTGTGACAACCCTACTTTCCCTTGCCATTTTCTGGCAATCCTAAGTTGCTTTGCGGGGAAGCTATCCCACCGTGCCTGGACTTTTTGTAACAATATATGTGTAAGAAATTAGTAAAGTAGCCAAAGTTACAAATTACAAAAAATACAAAAGAACTAACAAGTTCAAAAAAAAAAAAAGTTCAAGTTAAAAGAATATATATATATATATATATATATAATTATAATGGTTTTTAATCATAAAGTATATATTTTCAATCTTTCATCAGCAGAAAAAAATTGTAGTTGGTGTTTGGAACATTATTAACATCAATTGCAAAACTGTGACCACCATAAAGAGTTTATGAAAAAAATAATTTTCTGTTATGGTTATATAATGTTTCTTGGCGCATTACTAGCAATCTTTGTATTAAATAAAATAATATAACAAAATTTTCTAGTATGTTTACTAATAAATAGTATTTTTCAGCATGTTTATATACAAGTTATATATATGTTACATACATATAACTTGTATGTTATTATTGTAAATAAACTGCTTACTTAATTGTATTAATTATGATTATTAATGTAAATGTTAAATAATGAATAGCATAAATTTGTTGAATTATGCTATTCAACAAAATGTATTTTAGATAAATTGCTAACAAAATTGTATTGTATTACTGACAAAATTTATGTAATAAACAAATTTATATTAAATTCCTTATATATGTATATATATATATATACATATGTAATAACTTGTAATAGATATTGAGAGCGTTGCCGGTTTATTGTTTAGCATAGTTGTTTCGTTTTCATGGATATTTACACCATTTGGCAACAAATCGCACATTTTCAAGCATAAATTGTATCAAGGCCATTACAAAAGACAAATACTGACATTGTTGTGTATAAGCATTAGTTTTTAGCTATATTTATCAATTTTTCATTTTGCCAGTTTCAAAAATAAAATTCTTTTCCTTTTTTAATATATCATGAAAATTAATTAATTTCATTGAAATTTCTTATATAACAAATTTTGAAATATATTTTTCTCTTAATTTGATTCACTTTTATTTAATAAATTGAGAGCAATTTTTTAAGTGTGTACTTGACTAATACTACTTTTTTGTGTCAAGTATATTAAATATATATATAACAATTTATCCATTTATTCGCTCTTAATATTTGTTAATTTTAAGTTGTAATTAATATTTTTATGTCAATATATAGTAAAATGCATTTCAATTTACTATATTCCAATATATAGTAAAGTGCACTTTTTCTTTATTATGTAATTTTCTATCATATTCTCATTAACTGCATTTCTGTACTTGAATGAAGTCATTTCATGATACCTGCTTTTATTTGCACTTTTCCTTCCTTAGATTTATGTCATTCCAAAATTATAGAATTCCAAGAGAGTCTCTTCTAAGTCGAACAGGAGATGTTACTCCTGACGGAAGATATGTAACTCCTTTTAAAGTAAGAAATTAATTTCATCATTATTTAAAGTAAAATTCATAAAATTTTTTGTAGATTAAGCATATTTTAATCTCGCTTATTACTAAAAGAGTTTGGTTCACAGAGGTTTTGCTTAAAAACTTAGACTACTTCCTCCCATTTTATTTTGTCTTTTGGAAAAGATATTAAAATTATAAAATTTATAAATTATGTTTGTAAATTAACAGTTTAAGATAGTAAAAAACATGCTTGAAAAAATTACTTCATTCTTCTTTGATTATATAATTTCTTTTTGCCTAGTATAAAATAATTTTTTTTTTTTTTTTTTTTTTTTGAAATCATTGGCTGTAAGAATTTGTATAATTGTTGTTTACATTTGTGATTTTCGTTGTTAAATGCCTTAGTATTTCTCCCTATAGGCAAAAATATTTTTATAATAGTTACTTTCAGTATAATATTTAAATCATCAAACCTTTGCAGTTATTTAGAAAGATCTAATTATTCTTGTAAACTGTTTATTTCTCATAAATCACTTTTCAATAAAAGTAGCTTTCTCTTTTTAAATAAATATTACAAGTTTACTTACGTATTGGCATTTAGCACATCAAAAAAAATCAAGGATCTGTCCAAAAGTAATAATTTCTTAGTTATGGCTGTAAAGGATTTGCATCAAAAATGAAAATTAAAACATGAATGTTATTGATTTTTTATCATTGATAAGTGTTTTTGTATTTTCTTTGAATTAGAATAGCCATCTTTATTTTTACAATTCCCATTTTGTAAATGGTGTACTATTTTTCACTCAGATGCAAAGATAATCGATAAATTGCCAATGCAAACCATCTTCAAACATCTAGCAGTCATAACAACAACCATTTATAGTTTGCTTGTGAAAAGAAGAGCTTTGGGTATACTTTGTGTTATCATTTTTCTTTTTCATATAAATGTTAGTAATTCATAAGTAATCATGATTCTGTCATCATGAAAAGAACACTGAGTATTCCATGTGGTAACGTACTTTTCTTTTTTTCAAAATGTTAAATATGTTTTATTCAGCAAAAAAAGAAAAAGATGCTATATCATTCTTCCACAAAGGCATTTTATGCCACATTCAAATGTACAAAAATGGCTGTTATATAAAGCGATATATCAAATAAAGCATTTGGAATACAACATGAAAAGTTGCAAGTGAAATGAAAGCATGCATTTTGACAACTGGTTCAGTGGTTTCAGAATACTGTTTAAAAATGCTGCAGTTTATGTACTATGGGACAGAGAAACCGATGTGTTTAAGTGGTGAAAGAAGTAACTTAACCTTTGCAAAAATAGAGGTATTGACTGGAACAGTTTTATGATATAGGTGTATTCTTTACATCTAATCTAAAAACCAAGTAACCAAATAATTGGCCCAGAAAAAACTTTGGACTTAAAAAAAAAGTCTTATCATATGATGAAGAAACAAAGCCAGGAGAGTTCTTAATAATAAATATTTGGTGGTTAATGCCAAAAACCTGGTTAATTTCTCACTCGGGTTCCGAATCTAAAGGCAACCATACCTACGACAAAAATCATCGACCATATACAAGACAGACTGACAATTTTTTCAGATAGTTGTCGAGCATATTAAACAGAGGAACTGGAAAAAAGCGGGTTAGGGACATGTTATTCTGAACCATAAATTTAAGTTTTTCATCATACAGCAGTTGCTTGCTCACAAAATGTTGAAAGACTGTTGTGCTTTACTAAGTGGCGGAATAAAAATTCCGTGAGGCATGGTTTGCCATTGTCATGGGTCTTATCTTGTAGAGTTCATGTGAGGAAAGGCCTTGAGCTGAGAAAATGCTTTTAATGTTATATTAAAAGCAAACATGGCAGCCTTAAAGATATGTGCAAAAAGTAAACATAAGCTTGCTTATAATCCTGATGTCAGTTTGGTGTTTAAAAAAGGGGCTGTAATAATATGGAAGTACTGATTTTTCATCATGAATAGGTATTATTTTATTTGAATTAGAATAAATTTTTTATGAACCTCCTATAAAAAGAATGCTAATTTTTTTTGTGTATTTAAAACATAAATTTCATTCCTGTATTGATTCGGTTAATTTATTTATTTCTCTTTGTATAGGATCCTAATAAAAGATTTGGTGCATCTCTGAGATCATTATCCTTAGGCAGAATGGGTATCTTAAGTATGTCTGTAGCCAATTTACAGATGTGCTTGACAATAGCTATTCGATATGCAGCAATACGAAAGCAATTTGGTCCTCCTGGAGAGGATGAAGTGCCTATTTTGGAATATCAACTTCATGTAAATATCTATATAAATCTTTTAATCTCTTCTATTATCCTAACTTTTAAATTATCCACCCACTTTTTTGGGGGAGGGGTTTAAATTAGCTTATCTTTCCTCTTGATACTAGAAAGAATTATTGTAATGTAAACAGATACTTGAAAAAATTAATATTTGAAACAGGTCATATTTGCAAATGCTCTGAACCCGATAAAAAAAAGAAAAAAAAAAAAAAAGAGTAAGAAATTCAGTTTTAGAAATATTCTTAGCTTATATGTTATGAACCTTCGTATTATATGCCCAGTCAAATTCCTTATGTAATCCAAGTTCAGAATTGTAGATAAACTTTGCCATAATTTGAGTGCTTATAAATTTTGTATAAATTTGTTATACATGCAGAAGACTTGTAAATTTTCATAGCTGATCAATTTGTGCAGCCATGATCAATTTGAGCTCTACGTGTTGGCATTGTAATTAAGACCTTTTGAATTTTTCATAGCAAAAAACATTGCAAGCTTTTTTTTCTTTAATTTAATTTCTGTTTTTCTTTTAATTTATTTGTGTTATATTTCCTTTATTGTCTAGGATGGTTATAAAGTAAGACATAGTTTTTGGGTTTCTATCTAAATTTTATCTATGAGCAGGAACTGCACTAGCTGCTGTAAGACTAGAGCTGTGTATTGGGTAAAGCATGGAGAAGACATTTAAGCCAAAATAGTGTTTCTTAAATTAGCAGTTGGGCGATATGTAGTACTATATGGGGTAAATAATGTTCACAGATAAAAGAACAACAGAGATTGCCCATATTAAAATTAGTATACAAAAGAGAAAAATTTTAATTAATTGCATAACAGAACATGATAGACACTAATTGGTGCCCTATTGATGAAATAGGTATTCCTAGGGACAATTTTTGAGTGTGTCTAAAATTCCATTTGATGTGTTGTGCATTTAATCTCAGAACTCGGTCTTAAAGAATGTTCATTGCATGTGTAGTCAGGTTACCAAAGGAGAAATGCTGCCATGATTCTGCTACATGTCTTTTAAATATTCCCATAGTACAAAATTGCATGCAGTAATGTCTGAGATTCAAGACTGCCAAAGAATTTAAGCGCTCAAGCTTGCTTTGATCAGTAAAGTGCTACTGTAGATTATCAGTAATGATCAATAAAATACATAAACACATCTTTGCTTCCCTTATATTACTTTTCTTGTAGGTATATTTGAAAACTAGCACTGTTGTGTATTGTTTCTAACTTGGCTGTTTAAAGGAAATTCAATTCATTATAGGAGGAACATTTTTTAACACATTTTGTCATTGGAAACAAAAAGTACGGTCACTACGTTAAGGAATATCGAATTCATCAATGACACATTAATTAGTATTTTTGAATTATTAATGCATTATTTTGTGTAACATATTAATTTTTTTCTATTCTGTGTACTTGTGTAGTAAATTTAATGTTTAATTTTATAATTTTTCTTTTTAACATTATTCTTTTTTGTACAGAAGCATATATTCCATTGAAAATTACTTTTAGAATCCTTAAGGCCGAAGGCAAAGATGGGTTGGAATTAGGATCGTTAACTAGAACAGAAAGATTTTTTTGAATGTGAAATGCCTCTACAAAATCCAGTTCTCCAATGAAAGATGTTTTTTGAATAATTTTGGCAGCAGAAAAATTGAAAGTGTGATCTTTATTACCTTCAAACAGGGTAAAAGTATCTTCTATGTAGCGGAACCATACCGAAAGTTTAAAGTATGAAACAATTTTGATTCATAATAATGCATGTAGATATCAGCCAGGAAGAGACTGAGGGTGCTTCCCATGGCTAATCCCTCAGTTTGCTCGTAATATTTATTTTGGAAAACAAAATGCATTTGTTTCAAACAGAGTTGAGTGAGAGAAATTAGCTCCTCAACTTCGATGCAAGAGAAATGAAATTCGCAAAGTCTGTTTTCTAGACATCTTAACGCACCCTCCTCTGGAACATGGTTTCTTTTGATGTAAAATCATTATTCACCCAGTTCTAGTGGAGGGTGCATTAAGGTGTCTAGAAACAAGACTTCTTGAATTTCATTTCCCTTGCATCGAAGATGACGATTTCAACAATGAATTCCATTGATCCTGCTATTCAGTTCACTTTTGAACTTGAGACTTGCAATTCTCTTCCGTTTCTCGACATTCTGGTCACACGTAACACATCCAACTTCAGTACTACGGTTTACCGTAAACTTTCACTGGTTTGCCTTCCACCACAAATCATGTCATGCGATTAAACAAAAGTTAGCTTCATTTTATTCCTATGTTTTGCGTGCTCTTCAAGTTTGCTCCTCCAAACTATCCTTTCATGAAGAACTCAATTATTAAAAAGCAATAGCTATTGACAGGGGATTTTCACCCAAAATTATTAATCAAGCAGTTAAAAAATTCTCATCTCAACACACCAAAAGGCACACTCTTCTTTTAGGAGATTATAAAAATTATGTCGTCATTTTCTTCTTTCCATCAATTAGCTATAAAGTTGCACGTATTTTGCAGAAATTTAACTTTCGGGTCATTTATTCTCCCATCAATAAAATTCCGAATTCCATATTAAATGACCCCATTCCGGATATGAATTCCTGGGGTATTTACAGGATTCCTTGCCAGTGTGGTTTAATTTAGATTGGCCAAATTAAGAGAGCCTTAAAATTTCACATTAAGGAGCATGAGGCATATGTTAGAAAAAAGGAAACACAGAAGTTTGTTGGTCCAAAAATCACACTTTCAATTTTTCTGCTGCCAAAATTATTCAAAAAACATCTTCCATTGGTGAACTGGATTTTCTGGAGGCATTTCACATTAAAAAAAAATCTTTGTGTTCTAGTTAACGACCCTAATTTCAATCCACCTTTGCTTTCAGCCTTTAAAGAAATTATGTTTTAGTTCTGGTTTCATCAATAGATGGCACTAGTAGCTTATCTCCTGTCCAGGCTTTCTTATTTTATCTTATCTTATCTAATCATTATATCTTATCTTGTTTATTTGCGCTTTTGCAGCTGAGGATGATTCGGTAAAACCATCAAATCTAGTCCTGTGAAAATTTACAATATAACGCTGATTTTTGTTGCTTGACTTCTAAATTAATATTTGTTCGGCGTGTTATTGTAGCTTGTCTATTTCAGTGTTAAGATTATTTTAAATTTTTAACCAAGCGGGTGTTAGCCCAGAAGGGCTATTAGTCTTGTAATAATATTTTGTGTTGAATCACTTTTCAAATTGTTACCACCAAATATTATTGCTCTGTATTATATTTTATGTTAAATTACTAAGAGTCTGCATGAATGTATGGATGTATGGTTCTCGCATTGTGAAAAAACAATGGTACTTAAAGTGCCAATGATAGTATATCCAAATAAATAATTTTGCCAATGAGTTAGTTTTTGTTAACTGATTATAATGATTTTCAGTAAAAGAAAAATGTTAAGGCAATAAAACAGCTTTAAGGTACTTTTAATGCATATATGCTTTTACAGTAGTAAAAAGCATCTGTGCATGCTTCTAGAAGACTATAAAACTCATTTGAAAATGCTGTGGGGGGAATTTTATCCAGATACATTTAATTTTTAATCATACTACAGAGGGTAGAATCTACAAAAAATTTGAGAATTACTAATTTTGCTTTAGTTTATAGTTCAGCAAATATGCTTATTTATATTTCATGTATTTTTAGCAATATCGTCTTCTTCCTTATTTGGCTGCAACCTATGCATTGTACCATTTCACTTCATGTTATAATAATGACTTGATCAATATACAAATGAAAATTATATTTGGTGAGAAAACATCTGAATTGGTAAGTAGTAGTAAAACTTTTTTTATCCCTGAACTCTGACTTGAAATTTTATTGGTTTTATAACTTTTAGGTAATTTATTGAAAACTTGTTCATAATGGAACTCTCCTTTTGCTTTTGAAAATGTCTTATTGCATTGTATAATTATTTTAATGTGTAAATCTTTTTTATGTAAGTTCTGCAATTGTAATAATGAAGCTGTATTATTTGTTTTTCAAATTTTCATGTCGACAAAATTTTTTATTTTCCAGTCAGACCAAGTTGCTGAACTCCATGCCTTATGTTCAGCTGCCAAGCCTGTTATAACATGGACAGCTCGAGATGCAATTCAAGAATGTCGAGAAGCATGTGGTGGTCATGGCTATTTGCAGGGTAATTAATGCTTCTGTCATTTTGAAGGTTCATTTTTACTTAATGGTGCTAATCCCTTCTGTATTTTTTAAATTAAAAAAAAAAAAAAAAATCATAATTTTTCAAATAATTGTTTAAGTTATGAAGAGAAGTCCTGTTTTTTCCCCCTCATTTTAACAGTTATTTGACAACTCCTATGCATTAAATATAAAATTATAGAGTGAAGATTGATTTATAACCAAAAGAATTGGCAATGATAAAATGTGTAATTTATTTCTATGTTATTTTTGTCTTGCTTCTTTTACACTTGTATTTAACTCTTAAATTATTTTTCATCTTAATTAGCCTCGTATATCTTAATGTAATTATTTCATAGGATTACATTTCAACTATGTGATTAGCCTGTGGTTTGGAAATGAATTTTTCTTAAACTTTCATTCTTTCAATGTCAATGGAACAGCAGAGTTCGGGAATATGTTTTGTCCACTCAAAAATTGTGAATTACTTACTGTATGTGTACTTTATGACTGAACATATGAATCTCCACTGTTACCATTTTTTAATTTATTTATTTAAAAACTATTTTAAATAGCTTTCTGATGATTGTGGGCAGGCATTTTAAAATTAATTTATGGAGGATTTAGCTGTTAAATTTTTCTTCCTACTTTAGCATGGTAGTAACAATAACATTTGAATTCACTTTTACTGTGCTGTGCATGATAGCAGTAACACTGTGTTTGGCATTAACAGCTCAACAATTGGCATTAACAACTTACAGGGATAAATTCTCTTTTTGGATTGTTTCCATCATAGATCAACGTGGGCCAGTACTTTTTTATAGAAAGATGCATGAACCAACTGATGTATCTAGTGGGAAGACATAACTTTCATTGTTAGGTCATTTTAACAATGGTCAAAATTTTCTAAACATAAGAAATACATTTCTTGTGTTAGTAGAAATATTGAGGAAACAAGAATCAATGGTAATTCTCACAAATTTACAATGCTAGTTTTGAAAGTTTGAATACAGAACCTTCATCTTCATCTGCAGAAATGAAAGTGATAAAGGAAAAGCTTGTTTTCGTATGATAACAATAAAAACAGTAAACCTGAAAATTTCAGAAAATTCCTTAAAACAAAAAAACGAAGAAGCTGCTGATGCCATATAGTGATGAAAAATAGAAACTGAGTGTAAAATCAGATTGAAATTTGGATCATTAACTAGAATTGAAAGACTTTTATGAATGCAAAACACCTCTAAATATCTAGTTCACTAATGGAAGATGTTTTTTGAATAATTTTTGGTGGGGGGGGGAACTAAAAGGGGATTTTTTAACCACTAATTTGGGGCTATAGAGGATTTATGAGTTTCTTTTTTCCGAACATATGCTTCATATTCTTTAGTCTGAAATTTTAAGGTTCTCTTGGTTTGATCAATCTCTATTAAACTACACAAGCAAGGAATACTGTATTACTCCATGAGTTCATATCTGGAATGAAATCTCTTACGTATGGAATGTGAATATGCAGTTTCATAAAAAGGACATCTAGTTACAGCAGTGTTACCTCTTTGGTTTTTAATTTGTTTCTTGCTGTGAAGAATTCACTTTCAGGGCATGATTTCAACATGGACAATGATGTCATTGAGACAGTCTGTAATAATTTGAGGCTGAGGACGAATCACTCTATAATATGATTGTAAATAAATTGCAGCATAGAATGTGTAAGTACATTGATATAGGGTTTGATTGTGTAGAGAAATCATAATGAGAAGCTGTAGCTCATACACTTCACTTTGAAGCTAAAAAAAATTCCCCTTTCCCTCGTAAATTATATCGAGTTTTATGATCTGAATGACGTAGTATAAAATGACTTTTAAGACAAATTTGCCAGTCTGAAGTTGCAATGCTGTGCAACGGGAAGATATTCCTATTTTTGATATTTAAAAGTTGGTTGCTATCAGTTAATAATTTCAATAACAAAAAATGATATAGAATAGCGCTCTTTAAAAATTAACAAAAAAGATCTCTAATTTTTCTTTCTGTTCTTCCATTTTCTTTCTTCATAACTTGAGTTGAAATATATTGAACACATAATTTAAAATACTTTTGATAAATAAATTATATCATTTAGATCAAATTGAGACCATTGTTGTGAAGGAAACATATAATAAGTTGCAAATGAGTTTTAGCAATTGATTTTTTATTCATTTATTAATTAACAATTTTACTAATCTAAAGTAATATTATGTTGCCAGTCTTACCATTTTTCTATTTTCAGCATTGATTGAATTTATGTTGTTCCTTATGAATAACATTTTTTTTTAAAGTTATTGGTATGAATTAATTTTTTAGAATCAAACAATTAAGAAATCTAAGTAATAGTTGTTCACTTGGAATGTGGGATTTTAGCAATCTCATTTTGACAGTTTGCAGGCATCGAAATATTTTTCACATAATTATGGTCATTATGTGATCATTATCACCATTAATCATTCGCAGGTTACAAAATCCCCGTGGTTCTGCTTTTTATTTTATAACAACAGAGCATTGCTTTGCATAAAGTCCTCCAAATATCTAATATTTCGCATGAATGAAACTGCTATGGCTATTGGTACTTCATTTTTTAGCATTTTTATTTGATCATTTAGTAAGAGCTTTTGTTTGAACTTGTTTTGTAACATTTGCTTTATTAGCTAACTGTTTAGCCCATCATTATCACCATTAATCATTCGCAGGTTACAAAATCCCCGTGGTTCTGCTTTTTATTTTATAACAACAATAGAACATTGCTTTGCATAAAGTCCTCCAAATACCTAATATTTCGCATGAATGAAACTGCTATGGCTATTGGTACTTCATTTTTTAGCATTTTTATTTGATCATTTAGTAAGAGCTTTTGTTTGAACTTGTTTTGTAACATTTGCTTTATTAGATAACTGTTTAGCCCATCTTTTCAAAATGAAGAACCATGCATTTTCTGGATCCTAATGCTATAAGGCCATCATACATTTTTAAGGTGTCAGTGGGTGCAAAGTGCAAGAATTTTATTTTCATCATTAAAATAAAAGGGCTTTAAAAATAAAGCATTCTTAGATATTGGCATTCTTATGTTATTTAGCAATGTTACACAAAGTTTTCTACTTTTCGAAATTTTCTTCATCCTATAAGTTGCTTTCAGAATTTTTTCCCATTAATTTCTATTTCATGGTCTGAAAATGTAAACATACTAAGTTTGATGGCCTACTGTTGTGTGCTCAGAAAGGGCTGAAAAGAATAGTTTTAAACAGAAATTCTGTATATTTAACACATCGTTCAATAAGTCCCAAGACTAACTGAGAAAACAACATACATTTCACAAAATTCACATTTATTCATCAACATGATCACCATCAAGAGCTATGCAATCATTCCAACGCTTTTCTAACTTTTCTATACCATGCTTGTAAAATGATTTGTCCTTGTCTGTAAAATAAGCTTCAGTGGCAGCGATGATTTCCTCATTTAAGCCAAATCTTTTCCCTTGGAGCATCTTTTTCAGATCAGCAAACAGCCAGTAGTCACTAGGGGCTAGATCTGGGGAGTATGGTGTGTGGGGGGGGGAACAGAGTAAAGCCCAACTTGTTCAATGTAAACCAGTGTTTGCATTGACTTGCATTGTCTTGATGGAAGATGAATTTTTCTTCTTCATGTGCGGTCGTTTTTTTGCGATTTTGGTCTTCAGATGCACCAGTAACTCACTGTAATAGGCGCTATTGATAGATTTTCCCTTTTCAAGGTAGTCGATGTAAATTATACCTTGCGCATCCCAAAACACTTATGCCATGACTTTGCCAGCTGACTGTTGCGTTTTTGGATGCTTCGGAGGGCTTTCACCGGCTGCACGCCACTCAGCTGACTGCCGCTTTGGCTCTGGAGTGACATAATGGATCCACGTTTCATCCATTGTCACATACCACCACATTGTCACCAACGCAAGAAATCCTGTTTATTGCGAGTACAGTGACAAACAGCTCTGTGAATCATCGACTCGTAGTTGCTTTTGTTCCATTGTGGGCACACGTGCCACCCATTTGTAAAACACTTTTTCATGCCCAACTTTTCATGTAAAATCGCACATGCACTTCCAGTTAATATGTTTACCTTCTCGGCAATCTCAAGAACTTTCACTTTGCGGTCATTCAGCATGATTTTCAACACTTGTTTCACATTTTCCGGAGTGACTGCTTCATTTGGCCTACCTGAGTGTGTCGCATCATTTGTATCCATGCGACCGCGCTTGTAATCAGCATACCAATGACAAATGATTGTTTTCGATGGAGCAGAGTCTGGATAACATTTTTCAAGCCGTTGCTGAGCTTGGACAGTATTTTTGCCCATTAAATAGCAATGTTTGATCAACACTCTAAATTCATTTTTCTCCACAAATGCAGAAGTAGCATCACGTTCACCACAGTAGCTTCGCTGTTTCCGCTACGAATGCCATGAAAATCAGACACGGGTCATTTGATGGTTAGTTCTTTCGAACAACGAAGTCAGGTTGATATTACTATGCCATCTGTTGGTTAGTCCCGAGACTTATTGAACATTGTATTATCTGATTCAGAAGTCAAACAACAAAAATCAGCGTTAATTCACAAAATTTTCACAGGACTAGTTTCGATGGTTTTACCGAACCATCATCTTCAGCTGCAAAACCGCAAATGAACAAGATAGGAAATAATGTTTAGATAAGATAAGAAAGCCTGGACAAGAATAAGCAAGTGGCGCCATCTGTTGGCGAAACCAGAACTAAAACATAATTTCTCTAAAAGCCGAAGGCAAATTTGGATTGGAATTAGGATCGTTAACTAGAACAGAAAGATTTTTATGAATGTGAAATGCCTCTAGAAAATCCAGTTCTCCAATGGAAGATGTTTTTTGAATAATTTTGGCAGCAGAAAAATTGAAAGTGTGATTTTCGGACCAACAATGTTGAGCAACAGAAGACTTCTGTGTTTCCTTTTTTCTAACATATGCCTCATGTTCTTTGACGCGAAATTTTAAGGCTCTCTTAGTTTGGCCAATGTAAATTAAACCGCACTGGCAAGGAATCCTATAAATACCCCAGGAATTCATATCCGGAATGGGGTCCTTGAGTATAGAAGTTGGAATTTTATTGATGGGAGAGTAAACAACCCGAAAGTTAAATTTCTGCAAAATATGTGCAACTTTATAGCTAATTGATGGAAAGAAGGGAATGACAACAGAATTTTTATAATCTCCTAAAATAAGAGTGTGGCTTTTAGTGTGTTGAGATGAGAATTTTTTAACTGCTTGATTAATAATGTTGGGTTGAAAAGCCCCTGTCAATAGCTATTGCTTTTAAATAATTTAGTTCTTCATCAAGGGCTAGTTTGGAGGAGCAAACTTGAAGAGCACGGAAAACATAGGAATAAAATGAAGCTAACTTTTGTTTAGTCGGATGACATGATTTAAAGTGTGGTGGAAGGCAAACCGATGAAGGTTTACGGTAAACTGTAGTACTGAAGTTGGATGTGTTACGTGTGACCAGAATGTCGAGAAACGGAAGAGAATTGCAAGTCTCAAGTTCAAAAGTGAACTGAATAGCAAGATCAATAGAATTCATTGTTGAAACAACTTCATTTAAATCACCTTTATTACCTTCAAATCGGGTAAAAGTATCGTCTGCATAGCGGAACCATACCTGGGAAGTTTAAAGTTTCGAACAATTTTGATTCATAATAATGCATGTAGATATCAGCCAGGATGGGACTGAGGGGGCTTCTCATAGCTAATCCCTCAGTTTGCTTGTAATATTTATTTTGGAAAACAAAATGTGTTTGTTTCAAACAGAGTTGAGTGAGAGAAATTAGCTCATCAATTTCGATGCAAGAGAAATGAAATTCGCGAAGTCTGGTTTCTAGACATCTTAATGCACCCTCCACTGGGACATTGGTGAATAATGATTTTACATCAAAAGAAACCATGAGTAAATTACGAGGAGAAATGTTTTTAACCTTTTTTACAAACTCTATTGAATTTTTTATGGTGTAAATGTTATTGTCTAATAGAGTGGAAAATCTAGAAACTAAATATTTAGCTAATGGATACGAGGCAGTACCTAAATTTGATACAATAGGGCGGAAAGGAATACCACTTTTATGAATTTTGGGAAGCGCATATAATTGTATTATCTGTCATCAGAATCTTAGGCTTTTGTTTAAAGCACTGGCACACAGAATTTCTTTCCAATGGGTTCAAGTCCACTATAAAATTATGGGCAGTGAAAAGGCTGATACATTGGCTAAGAAAGGAACTTTGATGAAACAATGCATTACTCGAACACTTTCTTTTCATGTGACTAAATTGTTTTTTAACTTGACTCTTAAGAAAATTCTTAAACATTATATGATTCAAAGTGCTATGGACAAGAGATGGAGGATTCTGGGGGGAAGAGAGATCCATTCCCAGTTTTCCAAAAAAGACAGTGGTGTCTCTGTTTAGATGTCTGACTGGACATGACTGTTTGCAAAGGCACCTCTGCAGAAGTGAAGTGGTGGATTCCCCAAAGTGTGTTTTGTGTCACTCGAATTAACCTATGATTTTTTTAACCTTTAAATAATTGCATTGCGTTTTCTAGGTTTAAAGACATTCTTGAAAAGTACTGGAGAGCCCATGAGCTAATGGCTTAGGTGCTAATGTTTGACATTTGTAAAATAAGCAAATATTTTTTGTTATTCTTTTTTTAATTGATATTTATTGTCAAAACTAATATTTTTTTATTTTAGCAAGTGGTTTTGGCCATCTTAGGAATGATAATGATGCCAACTGTACATATGAAGGAGATAATAATGTTTTGCTTCAACAAACAAGCAATTATTTGCTTGGACTTTTAAAGAAAAGAAATGGTAATTTTTTTTAAAGCTTATTTTTATAATCTTGATCTTATAATCATAATAGTATATTGTAATAAGTGGTAACTACAGGTATGTGTTACTTCACTTTCATTACATTCAGCATCATGATGGAGCTTCACCCTTAAATAGATGTTTCTTTTAAATAAATGTTTGTGCTTATCTCAGTGAACAATTGCCTAACAGGTAGCTTAATAGAGTACAAATTTCAAAATTTTGACATCCAATATCTGGAATGATCTAAAATCCAGACCTCAAAGCCACCAACTTTTTTCTTAAAGGATTTTTCTCGGGGGGGGGGGGTATGCCTTAGAATGTGCATTTGATTTTTTTCTCCCTTAATAAAACAGGCAGAAAGTCCCGATTCTTAATTTCACTTCATTAAATAAAATAATTCATTATTAAAGATACAATCATTTTAGCATAAATTTGTGTGAGCAATAATTTGAATCCATAGCTGCATGTCTGTTTTGCATACATCTCAAAACGAAACATAGAAACATCGTTGATCTTACACCTGCTAATATTCTATATCCTTGATGCCAACCTGGCAAATCATTATTTATTATATTTTGCTTTCATAACCACATGTTTATCCAACACATGACAACCTGTGTAAGGACTCGTACAGCTATGCCTAAACAAATTTTTTTTTTTTTTTTTTTTTTTTTTTTTTTTTTTTTTTTGTATATTAGTAATTGAAAAACAAAGAGTATGGTAGCCTTTTCTGTTGAAATTATGCTTGGCGATGATTCTTTAAGTTAAATGTACTATAAAATATTGACGAGGAAAAATTTAACAAAAATTTCTTTTTATGTGCTAAAAGTACATTTTCATAATGATATTCATGGACCAAAAGATTATGTATAGTGCTACTTGAATTAAAAATAACTGATTTGTTATTCACATAAACGCAGAATCGGTGCTAGATCTCATATGGATGCACTGGGCAGCAGAATTCAGGAAAAACAAAATTTTTGGAATTTAAAGAAGCACCGAGCAACAAAATTAAGGGATGGCAACATTTTTAAAATTTATGTAAAGCACTGGGACCCAAAATTTAGGGACAACAAAAATTTAGAACTTAGAGATGCACTAGGTAGAAGAATTTAGGACCTGCAAAGACTTCATCAGGTGGTAAAATATTTAGCACCAGCCCTTGATAAGCCGTAAGTATATATAGGAATTTATTCAGGCCTGAGCTAAGCCTTAAGCATTTGCCATAAGTAGAAGTAAGTATAATAAATAATTAAACTAATGCACTTCAGGCTCAATTGTCTCAGTGCTTGATAAAAGCAAGACAAAATTTACCGGAACAACTTGGCCTTCGTCGCCAGTCTCATGATACATAGTCAATAATGCATAGCAGAGGCTATGCATTATTGACTAGGCTAAACTATAACTAGGCTAAAATTATATTTTACTGATTCTAAGGAGTTTCAGTAAATATAGCAGATTGCGCTGTTCCTGAACTTTTGATTTGATCCAGCTTATTATTTTTTGCAGTCTTATTATGACAGCAATTATATAGAATTGAAGTATTAACTTTCAATTACGTCAAAAAGAGTTTCTATTTCTAGAGCTGCAACAGGATCTACAAAGCAAAAACATGTTTTAATGTCCATTAAACAAAAATGTGGAATTGCTGCAAAAAATGGCTAGAGGTATAGCTGTCTCAAAATTAAGCAGGAAGTATGAAATTGGAAAGTCAATTATGTATGAGCCATAAGAAAATGGAAAAAGGAACTTCTTGAATTTTTTATGGCTTCTGACACTCCACTTGCAGTGAATAGCAGAAAAATTATTCATTATGCTCAAAGTGACAATCATGACAAAGTGATGATTGAATGGGTCAGACAGCGTCGCAAAAAAGGCGTGCCATTGACGGGTCCAGTGCTAATGGCTCAAGCCAAAATATTTAATGAAGAATAAACTTAAAAACTGAGTGCAGATATTTGGTAAGTTGGTTAACCAAATTTAAAAATCACCATGATATAAGGCAGTTGAAATTTTCAGGTGAAAAAGCTTCAACTGATACTGTAGCTGCTGAACCATTTGCAGATGAAATCATTGAACTCACTAGTAGTGAAAATTTATCTCCAGAACAATTGTACAATGCTGATAAAACTGGTCTTTTCTGGTAATACGTACTGTGAAATACCTAGGCAACCTCTACAGGAAAGGCTCCAACTGGTGTCAAAGATTCCAAAGCGAGACTAATGGTTTTAGCATGCGCAAATGCTGCAGGAACACCCAAGTGTAAGCTTTCATAATCGGAAAAAATACACGACCTCGAGCATTTAACTATATTATGGCCAACTACCATATTTCATGGAGAGGATGATGCTGATGATAACCGAGAATTTGAAAGTTTTCAGATATCACAAACCAAAGGCGAAATTTTCGAATTAATTTATTTTGTAAAGAAATGTGCAGAAGTGGTAATAAAGGAAGAGGATATAACAGAAGTTTTTCATTGTGATGACAATGCTCCAATCATCGGTCAAATAATGGACAGCAAAATCTGTAGTATAATTCTAGATCCAGAAAATACCACTACCTAGTGGCGGATAGGGCCAGTGGGCCAGAGCGATTTTAGGCCGATCAAAAAACTCGAACGAGTGAATCAACAAAGATGACTCGGCGAGACAGCCCTGCGCATGAGGAAACATGCGTGAAATTAATACTTTCACTCAAATGTATATCTTCCAATGATATCCAAAATGCACAGATATGACAAATGGTAAAATCTGCTATGGATAAAATATCAACTTTTAGAATAATTTTGTCTGCTCACGTATTTTTGAAAATATTTCGATATACTGAATCAGTAACGAAATAGTTGCAGATTAAAGGATTAGATTACAATCCTAGCATATGTTATGGTTTTATATCTATATATATATATATAATGGTTATTCGTAGAGGTTTTGAAGAGGTTATAATATTATTAAGTATATATGGTTAGCACATAATATGGTAGTATAATATGGTTACAATCTCTTTGAAAGCTGTTGCTAGAAATTTCGATTTAATTTAAACTTCAATCGTTTGCAATGGATTGCAGTAATAAACTAGAAAAGCTGGGTTATGATATAATTATAGAAGATGAACTACCTGCTAGAAGATGCCAGAAAGTGAAACAAATGGATGATGAAGAATCCTCCGACTATAATTTCAATTGCCCTATCAAACAATTCGAAGTTACTGCCTTTAATTTTATAATGGATAACACATCGATGAAAAGTAGGTTTAAAAGGCATAGAAAGCTGCACAAAGACATATCACTTCTCGATCCCAAAAATGTTTCGAAGCTATTATTGTAGAACTCTTTCGACTCTCTCTCTATATATCCATATTATTAGGGCACTATGCAGATGTAACAACTGATAATCTTAAGGATGAATATCAAGACCTAGTAATTAAATGGGAAAGACTAAAAAATTCAATTGAAAATCATCATTTTGAATCTGATACCGAGTCAGAAGGAGAGAGGTCTCTATCTATTAATGAGCATTCATCTAAAGCTTGCATGCAATTTTTACAAAAAATTATTTATATAAATTACTCTTGAAATATAATTTATATAAATTACTCTTGAAATATAATTTATATAATAATGCGTAAGCCAATGTCTTTTTTGCTTATAAGTTTATACTCACCCTATCTATAATGCAAGTTGAATGTGAAAGAGTTTTTTTCAAAATTAAAAATTGTAAAAAGTAGACTAAGGAGTACTGTGAAGCAAGCTAATTTGGAGTCATTGTTATTGACGAACATAGAGAAGGATATTTTGGCTAAAGCAAAAATTGAAGATATAATGAAGGAAATATGTGCCAGGCACTTGAAATTAAAAAATATTAAAATGGCTAATTATGAATCAGCTGCTGTTTTGTTTATATAATTATTTAGTCTGTGTTATTTATTGTTATATAATATATACATATGAATAAAGTGTTACTTTTCTGCAAAAGTATATTTTTAGTCCAAAGGGGCTTTGTCCCTGAAGGACTATTGTTTTCGTTTTGCGATTTTGTGTTGAACCATTATAAATGTCCGTTTCACTTTTCAAACTGTTGCCCAAATGCTGAGTACTGCATTATATTTGAAGAATTAAATAATGAAAATATGCATAAAGTGTGTGTATTTTCGCATTGTGATAAAAACAACAGTACATAGAGCCATCAAATTTGAATGACGTATCCTCCTACGAATATGGGCATGTGGAGACCAAATTTGAAATTTGGAATTTGTTTTATTATCGATTTCATATTTTCTAAAACTTTAACGAATTTTTGAGTACCAAACTCAATTATTTAAAAGCGAGCAATAACAACGCTCTACAGGGAAAAAAAGACATTTTTATCTCCAGTGCACGGAACTTTGTATTGGAAATTCTAAAGATATGCTCCTTTAAAAATTATTTTGCGACATTGCTATTGAACTAAATTTTATGATTTAATTGCAGAGAACGTGATATTTAATAAATAAAGGTAACACACAAAATGTTAAAAAAAACCCATTTGGACGTGATTTAAAATTTGAAACCTTTAAGATTTTTCTTTTATAAAATTATTTTTTATGATCATGATGACAATCATATGTAATATGTGTAATGATATTCCATATGGGGACTTGGGGACGACATATTTTTTTCTGCCAGGGCCAATTTCTTTGGCCAATCTGCCACTGCCACTACCGATGGTGAAGAAAATGAGAGAGGTTATTGAAAATAAAAAAATTTCAATTGACAAATTAGTCAGAATTCTCGACACAGCAATTATCAGGACTTTAACAATAAAACTTTGTAACTGAATAAGAAACTATATCTGTCTATAGAATTAAAGAGAAAGTATTAGCACAAAAATGAAGCAACTTGCATTGAAAGAAATGTTTAATAAAGTAAACGAATATATATAAATATATATTTGTTTTTTTTTTTTTTTTGTGTGTGTGTGTGTATGTGCAAATTTTTATTCTTTTTAGTTCATAAGTGCTTCATAATTTCATAAATCAGGATTTCGTATTTTTATTTTTATAATTTCTACTTGCCATCTTACTAGATATAAACTGATGATCTAACATTTGGAAAAATTTCAAATTCGGGATCGCCAATGTCCTGACGAGTTCAGATATCAGACTTTGTACTATAATGCTTTTGATGAAAACTTTGTCTTAGTGATTGACTATGCTGCTTGGATACTTTGATTACTGGTAATATGAATTTTCCTTTAGGGTAACATTAGAAACTATATTGTTACACCTCCCGTCACCCAAGACTTTATGGAATTGGAATAATTAATTGCATTTTATCACTCAAATGAGCCAACGCTGAAGTGACCGAAAACTAAACTTAAAGGAGAGGCGTTTATCGTGACATCCCAAAACGCAGATATATTTAGGATTTTTAATGTTTAAGAAGCAACAGTAACTATTATTCGAGCCTCTTGTTTTGCTAAATTCTTGGAGTCAGTTATCATTCATCTTGTATAAATTTAACTAGTAGAATTTCAATTCTGTTTCATGTAATATTTATGTACTTCTTATTAATTCAAGCTATTCTTCAGAAATCATAATAAGTATGTAATGATGTATTATAAGAAGCTCTATTTATACTTAATTACATGTGTTCTTTTAATTATATGCATAAAGAAATTAGGCTTTTTTACATCTAAGAGTTAAAACATTGTTCCAGTATATCTGCAGAGTTTTAATTTCTCTTGATTGTTTTAATTTTAATTATCAGAAGGATGTCAAGAGATTTACATTATCATTTTAATGAGTGGAATTTCTTTTAAATCAATGATTCAAATCAGATTGTCTCCTATTAAATGATAGGAAATGTATTAAAATTAGAACATTAAGTATATTTTTAAACAGATTAGAATACTGGTTGGAAAAACAGAAACATTTTAAAGAATTTAAATTATTTTAAATATTTAAACAAGCTGTATTAATGCAATGCAAGAAAATGTGTCACTACGTCTAGTATTCAGTAAATCTAATGATGATGAGTGAGTTAATTCAAAACACACACTGAATGATCCAAATAAATGTGTGATAAGAATACAGTCTTCTCAAAAATGTAAAAATATCATCAAATTGGTGGACTTTTTTATGCTACCAAGGTATTATTTCATTGTGTAGAAAACTCTTTTATTTCACAAAATTAATGGAGAATTTGCATCCTGCATTTAAGCCTTCATCTAAAAGTGACTAAAATGATCAATTATTAAATGATATAAATGCAAAGCAAATATAGAAATGCAGTAATATTTTAGTTAATCAGTCTTTATGAAACTAGATGCTTGGTCTAATATTCGCAATTAATCAATAGTCTGCATATGTGCTTGTACAGTAGATGAAACTGTATATTTAGTGCAAACCAAATGATGTATCGTTTACACTGCATACAAGTGAAAATTTAATTATCCTTTATGTTGATGCCATTAATTGAAGCTGAAAAACACTTTTGAAGTCAGCAGCTTGCTCGAGCCAAATTTAATGAATGATGTGGAACTTTTTAGAGTATACCATCTGAAGTATATTGGAACTAAATATATAATTCCTTTAAAACTATGTGAAGAATTGGCCATTTTTCAAACAAATTGTGAAGATAACCAAGATGTAAGACAAGAATATTAAATCAAAAGTTTTTAATATTGCAGTCAAATGAAAGGTAGAAGATCTCTTACTTTAACTCTCTTACTCTTTTTTACTTGAAATCAGTTTCAGTCACTGGTTAAAATCCAGAAAGGTTGCAACATTACTAAAGCTGTTAAAGTTTGGAGAGACTCTGAAAACCTGTAAAAAATCTCGATAAAGCTTGCATAAAATTATTATTAGTGCATCTTTATTTTCATGACAAAATTTGTATATTTCTCTTATTGAAAAATGAAAAACTGAAATGAAAATGAAAAATTGAAATGAAAATGGAAAATGAAAATTTCTAAGGAAATGCAAAAGTATAACTTCGTAACCAAAATGTATTTACTTGACCAATTTTGAGCTTCCAAAAATTTTGCCTGCAGTAGGCTATCATTTATTCCCCAATGTAAAGCTGTTGCTGCTTATCGTTTTTAAATTTGCTCTACTTAATTTCATTCCCTTGTTTAGTTAAAATTCAGTACTCTGATTAACCACTCAAGCCTGAGAAGAATGACCAAGCAATGTGGAACATTGCCAAAGTATGCAACCCAGAACTTTATGAAAATGTATTTATCTCGCAACCCATGAACAGTTTCTTGCCTATCATGCGCCCGCAAAATGCAATTCAACAGTCAACTGTGTAGCTGCTGCTTATCAATTGTTCTTAGGTGACTGTGATAATAGCTTTTCCAAATGTGTGAAATTCTCTGATTTTTAGTAGTAACAGCTTTTTTTGAACTTTTGCAATTCTCTATCTCTCTTTTTTAAAGCTGATTTTTATATGGGAGAAGAGCAGGGGGGGAACAAAGTGTTTTATTATATATGTTTCTTGCATTGTTAATTTCATATATTTGTTGCTGTTTTGTGTAATTTTCAGTGAGCTGCCGTTTTTTAAAATGGTTAATTTTTTTCACGTCTGAGGTTGGCAAAAAAAATTAGTTGCCAGTGATTGGAGATTTTATTGAGAGAGTTGGCCAGATAATTTGAGCATGCTCAAAATTGTTTAAAAATCTGTGTGAATAAACTTTGTGCCATATTTATGTTTCATTTAGCATTATTCTGAATTTTAAGTTATTAAAAATTTTAATTAAATTTATTAAGTAATTTGTATTCTTATTTATTTGCAGAGGGATGTGAATTTTTGCATCTTGAAAGTGTCAACTTTCTTGATCACACGGACCAAATACTGAGGGAGAAATTCCGCGCAGTTATTTTGGAAGATTGTTTAGACATGAAAGGTGAGTTCTGTAAATATATGTATTTGTTTATGTATTTTTAAAGTATTTTAGTTTTATCTGAAAATGTTTCAAACTGTTGTACTAAATCTTCAGAACTTTTTATAAAGTTGGATTTCATGTATATAATTATAGTACTTTTGAATAGCATTCTGTATAACTGCATTTTATTTCCTATATTTCAGTAAGTTTTTAAGATCATTTATGAGAAGCAATATATGGCAATCCAGTTAATTTATTTAGTAATTTAAAAGAACATTTCTTAAACTTTTTGATAAGTGGAACCCTTTTTAATGTTCACTTTTATCATGGAACCCCTGGTTTGTTTCGGTAGTATGGTTTTGATGCAACATTCTGTAAACGGATTGTTTGCAACAAAAAGGTTCAAATAATATTCATTTGCTTCAATAATAATTTTAAAATGAATCCAAAAATTCTTAAAATAACATATTCAATTTTAATGAGATGAGTGGTACTGCTTTTTATTATGAGACATATACTTAATATTAGGCTGTCTAGATGAAAGTTGAAATCTCATGTCAGGTTTGGCATCAACTCTCTTGCAATATATATATATATATATATTTTTGATACATATATCTGAGAATTCCATTTCATGTAGTTGCAAATGATAAAAGTGCCATCACAGCCTTTTTGACAAATTGAGATATTCAACTTTTAAACTGCACAAGAGTTCCACTAACCACATTAATTAAAATTTTTTTTGCAATGATGAACATGAAAAGTTTCATATTGCTCTATTGGCATGATCAAAGTTTGTGCATTGACAATAAATGGATTTTTAATCCCCTATTCATTTTGGTATTTAATCTGCTGTTCATTTGGAAAATCCTAATTAAATGCTTGTAAGTGTTGTTTCACCTGATACAGAATCATAAATTGCCAAAACAAACAGTTATTGACTTTATGGTCAAAAATTAATAATATAAGTTGCTAATTGGTTTTGAAAATTGATCTAAATCAGTACTTTATTCTATGTTGCACATAAAGTAATGAAATCTTTTTGTGTTTAATTTGTCAAAGTGTTATAAATATTTTACATATTATATGTATGGAAGCCTCCCAACTCTTAACTTCCTACATACTATGTATAAAGTATGTCTGCCTTTGGTTAAGTATTACTTATTATAAAATTTATTTATAAGTTTAATGTATTTTACATTGCTTTAACTCTGGTTGCCTTATATGTTATATATGTTATCAGAAAACTGTGCTTTTGATAAATTGCTGATAGTTCTTTCCTAGTGATATTTGTTCTTATAACCGTAACTCACAAAGGCATGTTTTTTTATTTGATCATAGTTCTTGGTTTTCTTAGTACACTGGATGATTTGAGGAGATTTGCCGAGAGTAGAGTAAACTATTATCTTATTTATTCAAATAAGAGGTATGCTTTACAAAGAAAGATTGTGTTTGAATAATCATTTCATAAAATTAAAATGTGACTGGAAACTCAAATGCCCATGAAGTCTTCATTTATGCTGGGAATGTCATCTTTAGCCTAAAGGGCATTAGCTTAGAAGGGCTATTAATTTCATTTTGGCATTTTGGGTTGAAAACATTAAATGTTGGTTCACTTTTCATATTGTTGCCACCAAATATTATTGCCCTGTGTTAAATTTAAAGAAATTAAATAATAAAAAAAAAATCTGCATAAATGTATGCATGTTTCTCGCATTGTGATAAAACAGTACCTAGAGCCATCAAATTTTGAATAACCTAATCTTCCACTGAATATTGGCATCTGGAAGCCCTAATTCGGAATTTGTTTTATTATTGATTTGATATTTTGTAACACATTAACAAATTTTTTATTAACAAACTCAACGATTTAAAAATGAGCAATGGCAACACTCTATGGGGAAAAAAAGATCTTTTTATCTCCAGCGCGCAGAACTGTGTATCGGAAATTCTAAATATATGCTCATTTAAAAATTATTTTGCAATATTGCTGTTCAATTGAATTGTATGGTTTAACTGCAAAGAACACAATACTTATTAAATAAAGATAACACACAAAGCGTTAAAAAAAGTCCCTTTGGGCATAATGTAAAATCTGAAAAAGCCCAAAGAGCATTAGCCCAGGAGAGCTATTAATTTCAAAACAGCATTTTGCGTCGATTCACTTTTCAATCTGTTGCCACAAAATGTTATCACCATTTATTATATTTAAGGAAACTAAATAATGAAGAATCTGTATGAATACATGAATGTTCTTTGCACTGTGGAAAAACAATGGTACCTAGAGCTATCAAATTTTGAATAACATAGTCTTCCACCCTTTACCTCTTTGTGCATTCTCATTCTTCTGATTTCTTTTTCTTAGAGTGGTAACTTCAGTAGTATATAAAACTCAAGACTCTAAACTGTACTATGTCCAAACTGAATTAGTCTCCAGTATAGCTTTGTATACAATGTACGTCCAGAAAGTAAGTTCCATTTGGTAATAAAAGTAAATTGTGTACAGCTACAGAAAAGTTATTTATTGCACAAAATTCAACAACTCTTAAACTACTTTTCCACATAACTGCCGAAATATTGCAGGCATTTGTCATAGCGTGGCACAAGTTTTTGTATACCTTCTTCATAGAAATTTGCCGCCTGTGTCTTCAACCAGTTGGAAACAGTTTCTTTCAGCTCGTTGTCATTGTTCAAGTGTTGACCGCCAAGGAAAGACTTAAGATGTAAGAACAGATGAAAGTCGCTAGGAGCGAGGTCAGGGCTGTACGGAGGATGGTCAAACACGTCCCAGCCAAATCCCTGTACGAGGTTTTTCGTCACATTTGCAGTGTGTGGCCGTGCGTTGTCGTGAAGAAAAACAACACCTTTTGACAGCAATCCTCGGTGCTTATTCTGTATTGCACTGTGCAATTTCCGAAGTGTCTCGCAATAAGCATCTGCTCTGATTGTTTGACCACGCGGTAAGCAATCAATGAGTAAGATGCCTTTCCAGTCCCAGAACACTGTGCACATCATTTTTCGAGGTGTCAAGATTTGTTTCGGCTTAACCTTTTCTGGGGATGAAGTGTGCCTCCATTCCATTGATTGCCGCTTACTTTCAGGGGTGTCGTAAGAAACCCAAGTTTCATCTCCTGTGACTATGTGTGTCAGAAATTCTTCGCCGCTTTCAGCATAACGGGTCAAAAACTCAAGTGCACTACCCATCCGTTTTGTTTTGTGTTGCTCAGTAAGAATCTTTGGTACCCAACGTGAGCAAAGTTTACAAAATTTCAGTTTTTCGGTAACAATTTCATGCATTAGTGATCGTGAAATTTGGGAAAATTCCATAGCGAGAGCACTAATTGTAAACCTTCGGTTTTCATTAATCTTGTCATCAATTGCGTGAACCAGTTCTTCTGTAACTAAAAGATGGACGCCCACTTCGTTCTTCATCGTGCACATCACTACGTCCGTCATTGAACTTTCGGACCCATCTTCTCACCATTGAATCACTCATCGCTTTTGGTACGTAAACATCGCAAATTTGCTGATAAATTTCACTAGGTTTCACTTTCCTCGCATTCAGAAAACGAATCACAGATCTGATTTCACAAGCGGCGGGATTTTCAATCAACACCGACATTGTAAACAAGCACAACAAAGCATACGTGACTGACAGCGATCTCCAAATGGCGCGCGTTTCTTCTCCTTGATACAGAGCGTCTACTGCGCATGTGCGGAACTGCGATCGCAGAGCTGCAGCGGAGATAAATTGAAACGGAACTTACTTTCTGTACGAGCCTCGTATAGTATATCATTACCCTAAGGGAAGGGAAGGTGCTACTTTTCCCCTTGAAATTCTCAGGCTCTTCAGAAACATTTTATCCAGGATGTTTCCAAGTTGTTGAGAAGTCATGCTGACGAGGCTCGGTCTCTTGACTATATCTGCATTTCTTGAACTATCTGAACAATTCTTGCATAAGTTGTCTAATAATTAAATGCACACAGTATAATACATGAAATAAACGCATTAATAAGTAGCCACAAAGTCAAAATGAAATACTTAAAAAAATAAGCATTAGCATACAAAAATGCATTGAATAAGTAAGTAAATAAAAAAGTGCACAACACTACAAATGTGTTTGGAAGCCGTATTACAAAACTGTTGCTGCCAAATCTCCTGTTGTCTGGAGACTTCCAATTTTTTTTATATCTCTCAGTAAATAACTGAATTTTTCAGTTTTTATTTTTATTTGTTTTTATTTGTTATTTATTTTATTTTTTATTTTGTTTTATTTTTATTTTATTTTTTATTTTATTTTTTTTTTTTTTTTATTTATTATTTCATTTTTATTTTATTTTTTTCCCCTCTACTTAGAAGAGTATTTTTGAGTAATAAGTGAAATTTATTAAATTAATGAAACTTAAGTCATGCAAATTTCATTCCCCTATCTCTACTGAGTTTCAGCATAATTTTTCTTATTAAATTTTATTAGATCTGAATTGTCTTAATATCCTATAGATATTTATAGAACTTTGTATGAACATTAAACTAATGTTTAATGAGCTTATATTTGTATTTAATTCCATTTTACATCAATATATGGTTCATTATTATGTTTATGCATACACTAATATGTATATCGATTATTAATTTTATTTTCATCATGTTTAAACTTCTTCGATAAATTGGAGCTTTTCTTCCCTACTCAGGATTATCTGTATATAAAAGTGTAAGAAAATTACAAAATGAAATTATCAAAATACATAAAATTTAGAATATCCAACTAAATATTAATATATTTTACATCAGGATCATATTATAAATATTTCAGTAACCTGAGTCTTGCATTATAAAAGAAATTTAAGTCAGTTTAGATTTCTTTTGAAATGTATCTCCATGCAGTGTAGAAACTTCCTTTAAAATTCCAGTTTTCATGAGAGAACCTCGTGGTTTTTAGCATAATATTTGCTAATTTGGATATTATCAATAATGGCAACTAAGCAAATAAGTAAACAAAATATCTGTGTAAACTACATAGCATAGGTTGGTGTATGGAATGATGCCTTAAAATTGAAGTTTTATTTATAGTCTTGAATATTTCATATTTTAGCTTTCAATTTAATTCAAATTTATCGCTGTGTGTAGCATCAGGCATAAAGTAATGTCATAAGATTTATTAGTTCTTTAGTGTTAACCACACCCCTATGATTAATCATCAAATATTTCATGGTTTATGGCAACCTATGTTATTCTGAACATTTCTATGTTTGCACATAGTTTGATTAAATAATTGTTTATTAGATAGTTATCAATTTGTTTTAAATTTAAGATCAAAGAAACTTTGTACTTCAGAGATCCATATAAATCAAAAGTCCATATAAATCTTACTTCAGAGAAATGAAATGGAAGCAGTTCTGTATTTGCAGAATTACAACATACTACTGGAAAATTTAGAATGCAAACTTTCACACTTAATGAAGCTTTACATTAACAAAGATAGCATTTTTTGGAAAAGTAACATTTGTACATGCCGAAAAAGTATTAGAATGTGTGTAGGAAACTGGTTCAAAGGAAGTCAAATATCATTCACAACAGATTTACATTTCATTTATTGCTGTTCTGAAGAACTAACATCAGTCACGTTCTGCAAAACACAACTATAAATATATACAATTATCTACAGAAAATCTGTATTCTTGAAGGGGTGGCAGCAGAAAAGGAGAAAATCGACGGCGGCAGATGCATTGTTGAGATCAATAAAAGCACATTCATGTAACACAAAAAATTGTGAAAGAATGTTGCCTTTAAAGTAGATATTTGGGAGAATTTGTTGCAAGACAAATGAAATATTTCTTGTAAGTTTGCCTTATCATAGTGCCGCTACACTAATGAATGAAATTTAAAAAAAAAAAAAAAAAAAAAAAACATTCAAGAAGAAATAACCATTTTTCCAACTTTCGAAAGGGTTATAAAATAAAAGAACTGTCTGGGTATATCCATTGTAAAGTAAATCACAAATATAATTTTGTCAATCCTGAAACTGGCACGCATATGCAAAATATAGAGCACATATGGGGATGTGCTAAGTGGCAAAATAAAAAGCATCGTGGAACAGCCACCATCTCATGTCCTACCTTATGGAATTTCTCTGGAGGAAAAGACCCACTGCAAATGATATGGTCAATGTTGTCCCAAAGCCAATCGCTAAACATTTTCTGCCAAAAACTAAAATGTCACTATATTCACCAATGGGGTGTGTTTAATACGAAAGGAACCGATTTATTATTTTGTTATATTACATTATTTCTTATCTGTATAATTTATTTTTTTTAATTAAAATATTTTGAATTCTAGTTATTCTAGCTTGCTTCCGATGGATAGTTTGCTATTTAATGCAACAAAGCTCACGAAAATTTGATAAGCTATTGTCTGAAGGCAGTGATCCTTTTGTTGCCCGCTCCAACTGTCAAGTTTTCTTTTGTCGAGAGTTGTCTGTGGCATTTTTAGAGGTAATGATATTGTTTATTAATTTATTTCTAGATTTAATTTTAAAAATAGATTTCATTAGAAATTATAAATATGAAATTTTAATTACTTTTTAAATGATATAAAAACAGCAAATTTTATTACAGAACAAATTGCATAATACAGAACTTTCTGATCTGAGGTATATAATGAAAATTTGAAATTTTCATGAAAATAACAATTCTGTAGATTATGTTTTTGAGATCAAAATTAGCATTCTTAAATCACAAACAATCAGTACAGTACAAAGTCCAAAATCCAGATGTTCATTATCTGGAATGATCTAAAATCTGGACCTCAAAACCACCAACAACATTTTTTCCTAGGCTTTATGCATGCGCATTTGATTCCTCCCTCCGCACATAATAAAACATCTGGAGAGTCCTGATTTGTAATTTCTCTTTGACACTAAATAAAATACCTTATTATTGAAGAAACAATCCTTTAAGCATAAATTTGTATGATCAGTAATTTGGCTTCGTTGCTGCGTATGTGCTTGGCACACATCTCAAACTGAAACATTCCACATAGATGCATTGTTGATCTGATGCCAACCTGGTGAATCCTGGTTTATTATACTTTCCTTTCATCACCACATGTTTATCAAAACATGACAACTTGAGTAATGACTCATGTAGCGATTCCTAAACAATTTTATTATGTTAATAATTGAATAATAAAGGATTATGGTAACCTTTTATGTTGACATTACGCTTGGTGATGATTACAGATTTAAGTTAAATGCACTAAAATATGTTGACAAGGAAAAATTTACCCAAAATTTTCTTTCCATATGCTAAAAATAGATTTTGTTGATAATACTCACAGACCCAAAGATTACATTTAGGACTATTTGAATTAAGAATAACTGATTTGTTATTCACATAAACACATAGCCAGTGCCAGGGCTCGTATGGTCGCAGAATTTAGGACCCACAGAGACTGCATCAGGCGGTAAGATATCTAGCACGTGCCCTCAATAAGGCTTAAGTATATGTGGGAATTTATTTATTCAGAACTCTGATAGGCCTTAAGCATGTGCAAGAAATACACATAAGTATAATAAATAACTAAACTAATACAATTAAGGCTTAATTCTCTCAATGCACGATAGAAGCAAGATAAAATTTAACGGAACAACTTGTCGTTATCCGCCAAGCTCATGATGTATAGCCAAATATGGATAGTGAAAGATAGCTAAATTTAATGATGATAGCAGCAATTTTAAAGATTTTCGGATATCGCAAAACAAAGGTGAAATTTTCCAATTAATGGATTTTGTAAAAAAGTGTGAAGAAGCAGTAATAAATGAAGGTGATATAAAAGAAGTTTTTCATTGTGATGACAATGCTTCTCAACCATCAATCAATTAATGAATGGCGAAATTTGTAGTATGGTTCTAGATCCAGAAAATACCGGTACCGATAGTGAAGAAAGTGACAAAGAAGTTACTGAAAACGAGAAAACTTCGATTGACAAGTGAGTCGGAATTCTCGAAACTGCAATTACAGGACTTCAACAATGTAACTGAACAAGAGATTATGTCTGTCTACAGAATTAAAAAGAAAGTATTAGCACAAAAAAAAAAACGAAGCAACTTAAACAACTTACATTTAAAGAAATGTTTAATAAGGTAAACAAATAAATATTAAGCTTTTTTTTTTTTTTTTTTTTTTTTTTTTTTTGTAAATTTTTGATACTCTTTAGATCACAAATACTTCATTATTTCATAAATCACGATTTCATATTTTTAACTTTATAATTTCTACATGCCATCTTACTAGATTTAAACTGATGATCTAATATGTGGAAAAATCCCAAATCTGGAATCACCAAAGTCCCGATTGCATCCAGATTTTGGACTTTGTACTGTATTAATGTTTCATGTTGCTTCTCCTGGAGGAAGAAAAAAAATCTTTTTAGAAGTGATGGTACATTTCCTAATTTTAGTTTGCAAGTACTTAGAAAAATAACTTATTGTACCATTCTCTTTCATTTTAGCAAAAGAATTCTTTATTTCCTAAAAAACGTTCCCTATAATTTTTATCCTCCCTTACTATTTTCTACTTTTTTCTCTGGTACTGACATTTTCTTTATATATATATATATATATATATATGTTTAAAAAATTTAATAGATCTGTAATCATGATAATAAATTAAGATATGATTTGGTCAGTTAGTTGTGGGGAAAAATCCAAATTTAATTTAAAAATTAGAAAGAGGAAAATGTAAACAAAACTCGGACAGGACCTATGATCTACAAAATTCTTTAATCTCCATAAACTTTGGTGATCACAGGGTGTGCAAATTATCAAAACTCTTGCATAAAAAACAGCATGGTCAGTTTTCCAGAGAGGTTTCATAACAACTAACCTTGAACTTGTTTCTCTTGTGTTGTAACACTATTTATGTTTTTGATTTTGAATTATATATATTTGCTTTAAGAAAAAACTAATCTATTTTTTTATTCCAAAGCATGCTGTACTGCAGAAGTTCTACAACTTTATCATTGAAGATGCAGCTGAGCCTCAGCTCTCCAATGTTTTGCATAAAATGGGTTGCTTGTATGGTTTATGGTGTCTACAAAAATATTACCCTATTCTCCATGAAGGTAACAGACATTAGCTATTTTGAGCTAAGTTGAAAATTTAACACCTTGGTTCTGCTAATGGTAGAATTAGGATTAGGATTTAATTTAAGGGAAACTGTACAGCTGAAGTTTTCTAAACAATGCATTTATATGTATATTCACTTCATATCTGGTTAATTTTACCAAATAATTTTTTACCTTACCATTTTTGTATTGGATTGTAGATGAAATGAAGTGTCCTTTAGTCATTGGAAAGCTCAAAAATTAATCAGCTGACTGATGTAATGTTGGATTTATAGTAGTTGTGAAAAACTAAAATTTATAAAAATAAATATTTATAAAAGTAATTAAAACTTATTTAGCATTATTATTTGCTGTTTAATAATGAAATTTGACATGTATAATGTCTCATTATATTCGTGCTGCATTTTTATCATTATTAAACAAGTTTATTAGCATATGGTAGTGACGAATTTTAATGCTATTAAAATAATTATTATTTATGTCAGTTGGTTATTTTGTACAGGACTAAATCATAAAATATCAATATTTTGTAAATGATCCATATTAAGTACACTGTAGTAATGTACTAACATCATATTTTTATTTTCACTTGTAAAAAGAAGATTGCTTATCATCATCTTAAAATATTAATTTTGGAAACAAGGAAATTTGAGTGTTTAATAGGCACATTAATTATTGCTGTGAATAAAATTATTTATTACTGAAATATTCATACCTATATTGAAAGCAATTGATTGCTATTTATTTATTTTTTATTTTACATCTTGATTTTTTTTCAATTAATAAATCATATTCTGGCAGAATTAAAACCCATACACACAGTTATGTTTCAGAAACCGACATATGAAAACTGGAAAAAATCTGAAAGAGTCAATTATCATCCATGCACCTTGGCAAATGTTGTCACTGCATGAAACATAAGACCTTTAATTTATCTCTTAAATGCTCTTGTGCACAGCTAAATCAAGTCATTAAGTAAGCAAACATGTAAGCCCTTGTCTTTCTTTGCTAGCTCTCAATGATGCTGTTCAACAAAGTATAAGATCTTTAATTTATCTGTCAAATTTAATTAATCTGTTACTAATTAACAAACTGAATGATTTATAATCAATAAATTGACTTCTTAATAATTTAAATCTTTATTTTACTTTTTTAATAATGCATCTGTTTAGTATAAATTTGAGTACATTTAATTTATAATATACCCTACTGATTTGCTGCCTTGTAATGATTAATAAAAGATGCTTCTGACTGCATACATTATGTAATTGCCATGAAATTAATGGTAAACTGTTCTTGGAAGTACTAGGCTATAATCTGAAGCTTCCATATTTTAATCTTTTTAAAAAATTCACTTTCATATAAACAGTTATTATAATTCAATGTAGAATTTCCCTTCAAAATCTTAAATTGGACATTAGCCGTGGAGATTCTCACAGTTTGAAGGAATTTGTATATCCTCAGAGTCATAGATTAATACTGTAGCAAAAGGCTTGTGGCAAAGATGAATTTATAATATGGTTGAAATCAGATGACACTAAAGGAATAGTTAAAAGTGAGTCTTAATGCAGCAAAGCTAGTCAAAATGTTTCCATATTTATTAAATACAATAATAATTTAAATATTAATAAGTATATTAATATTACCTTTTAGTTAAATAATATAAACTTTAAATTTATAGGTACTTTTATGTATACGTATGCTAAAACAAAATATTTCCTATTTTACATGTTATTTAAAATGCACCATTTAAATTTAAAAAAAAAAATTCATTTTATTTAGTTATGAGCACTTCAAGAATGTAAACTATACTGTTTGTTGATGAAAATATGTTTTTTGCTTTAAGACAGCTGGAGGAAATTCCTCTTATGTAATAATTTAAAATAAAGAACCAATTATGTTCTATAGGAATAAAATTTTTGTAACTTTTTTTAGGTGGCTTCTGTGAGAGGAGGGATAACAGTACTGTAATGAAGCAGGCAATGTTAAAATTATGCTCTGAATTAAAAGATGATGCTGTATCACTTGTAGATGTTATTGCTCCTCCAGATTTTATTTTAAATTCTGCCCTTGGCAAATCTGATGGACAGGTAACATTATTGCCTTCTGGTTCTTAATTTGATTTTTCCATTTTATGAAATTTGTTTGTTGCTTGGACTGTATATGTAAAAGCAGTAGCTTCGATCAGAAGATTCATATGTTATTTTAAAATTTTGTTATTTAATACATTTAATGGTGTTTCAGTAAAATATAACATTTAATCAGTAGTTAAACACCGGAAAAGTGGATATTAGGAACAGAGACCTTTAATTACATATTTAATTTTAAATAAGTTGGTACTCTTTCAAAATACTGTAGTTTTTACCAAAGACGTATAAGAAGCATGCAGAACTACTATTTCCATGGGCAATATTTTCAAGACTTCTCACACATACATGAAACCACAGATAATAATGAACTCTTTATAAAACAGGTATTTATATAACATATATAAATATAGTCAAGTATAATTGATAACTTATGCCCTGAAAGATATTCATAATACATTGGTACTTCAGTTCATGTCTGCTCTGAAATATACCCAACTTGGTATACGTCCTGCTTGGATGCAAAAATTTTTTATTTGGATATGACTCGAGTTCAGTGAGTCATGACTATGTGTACAACACTTTTTTACTTCTTTCAAGACAATGTTGCAACTGCTCATAAGCATCAGTATGCCTGTTGCTACCATTCAAGTGATTTTTTTCATAAATATTTTGTAAATTCATTAAGAATGAATTTCAGAAAAGTTAATGAGATAATTCAAGCTATGAAGAAAATTTTTAGAATCACCATGGAGGTGACAGAAAAGATTGCTGAAAACATAGCATGCATATTTGGGACTTATCTATCACATACCATATGCCAAATATGACAGTATCTACAATTGTGAAAAACAAAGATGCTATTAAATTGGCTAAAATTGGGAAGTGATGTGATATTGATTACCAAATAAACAAAGAGAAATATTAGAGTTTGATGAAAAACTGCTTTTGATCTGGATAGCAGAAAAACATTAATATATAGTATCATATACTGTGCTTCATTTATGTACACTATATATTTAACCAATTTTAGTATTAAACAATGTTATAATAATAATATTTTTAAGATTTTTATAAGAATGTATTAATTATTTTCCCTTTATTTCTTATTGTAAAAGTTCATTTTGTATATGTCCAAGGATCTCGAATGGATTAATGATGTATAACGAGGAGCCACTGTATTTAATTAAGTATACCACATTATGTACTATATTACAAAATGTACTGTGCAATCACTCTTTAATATGTTTTGAGGGATTCAAACATTTTTAACCTAAACCACAAAATGTGAGAGTGAAATGATCAAATGTATTGTAGCGTATAATGTACTACTTTATACAACAGACATAAAAATCATTCACTTTTCTGTCACTAAAATCATACTGCTGGTTTTGAAACTCTGGCAGAATCACTTATCTTATGCTTTGGGGCCATTATTATAACAAATAAGAACTTTTTAGCACAAAAGTTGCAATAACACTTCACTAAATAATAATGAGAATATGAAGAACACTAGAAGCAGAACAGAGTCAAATTTACAATTCTTTGTTTAACTGATTGTATCAAAACACTCAAGAACTAGCTTACTGGGGGGGGGGGGTGGCATCATGCAGGGTTTTCTAAAGACAACAAATTTGTATTCACATAGCATGTGAGGAAAAGCTACAAAAATACAGATGCAGCTAACCTTCTCACAGGATTTAAACTTACTAGAACTACTAGTGCTGTGGTTTTTATCCACTTGATTACTGATTAGATTAGTACAGTCAAAAGTCGTTAATCCGGAATGATCTATAATCTGGACTTCAAAGCTACAAACTTTCTGTGCATGCGTCAACGCATGAGCGTAATACCTTTACACATGCGCATAATACGTTTACACATGCGCGTTTAATGTATAACAGACGGTATAAGTATAAGCTAAGCTAAAATTATCTAATTATCTATTTTAGTTATTGTTGCAGATTGTGTTGTTCCTTAATCTTCGAATTGGATCCGGCTTATTATTTTTTGCAGACTATTAGAGAAATTTTATAAAAGTAAGTTGGAACTTTCGATTATGTCAAATAGAATTTCCGATGCTGGAGCTGCCAAAGGATGAACAAAGGGAAAGCATGTTTCGATGTCCATCAAACAAAAAGTTGAATTGCTGCAAAAAAATGGATAAAGGCTCCTTTGTTTCTCTAACCATCCCAAAATCTGTTTATCAATTTCACGCTGCTCCGTGCCGGGGGGGGGGAGACGTTGTGGCGCGCAACGAACTGGAAGTTGATCTGTCAGCACTATCCTTATCTTCAAGGCAGATGTTTTTATTATATTCGGCTTATAATTCCTTACTAAATGTAGTATTTCATCTTGATATACTCCGTCTTTGATATGATTTAAATCAAATTCCTCATCATTATAAATATCACGAATACAAATCAAATAGTTTTCTGGTTTCTAATTTCGACTATGCATAATGTATGCTTTACGTATGCGCGCGTTGAAAGAAATGTTTAATAAAGTAAACAAATAAATATTAAGCTCTTTTTTTTTTTTTTTTTTTTTTTTTTTTTTTTGTAAATTTTGATACCCTTTATATCATAATTGCTCTTTATTTCATAAATTAAGGTTTCATATTTTTAATTTTATAATTTCTGCATGCCATCTTACCAGATTTAAACTTATGATCTATAATCTGGAAAAATCGATAATCCGGAATCGCCGAAGTCCCGACGGGTCCAGATTAAAGACTTTTGACTGTATCAAGTTTAATGGTCTGAAGTCAGCATATAGATACATGCTTACTTAGAACTATATTTCGCTATGTTGCACTCCATTGTCACTTGGCAGGCATGCCAAAGCTTAGCCTTTCCTTGTTCTTTTTTGTTTTGAATCTGTAAATTGCAAATAACTGAAACTGCAGATACTGAATCAGCAGATATGGTAGCCATAACTGTATATTCTAAATCCTTTTACTTAAAAAATCCATATTCATGAGAGTGAGGTTTTAAATGTATGAAAACTAATTTGGGAGGGTGGAGAAACGTCATGTATATTTTGTGAAATATTTTCCTTGCATGATGTCTATCACAAAAAGAGTAAAACTACCTTCTCCCCATTTTTGTGTACAGGTGTGCATGTTATAGGTTGTAAATTAAATATATCTAAAAAAACAGTAAAATTAAGTAACTTTATTTTAAAATCTATTGTGCTCAAAATTTAATAAGAAACTGATGTATCAACAAATTTCTGATGGACATATAAGGTCAAGACAGGTGTAAGTTTTCAAAAACGTAATGCTGTAACATTGGTAACAAAGCATATGAATTTTTCATATAAAACATATTTTGCTGTTACTGTCCATTTGTATAATTACAGTAGAAAGATCTGATAGCTGAAAAAGTAAATCTGTACAGAATAATTTATAAGCAATTGAATTATGGATAATGGGTACTTTCCTGATTAGCTTGTTTGTTAGAACTGTGACAGTTCAACAAAAATTTAAGAAAATAGATTGCTAATAATGTTAAAAATATGAATATTGAGAGATAAGCTGATTAAGGGTGACTCTTCATAAAGAGGAATTCTGTAAAATTATTCAGTTTTGTATAATTAAAAAAAAATAATTTACACTGTCTTTCATAAATGATTATTTTAATTAGTAATAAGCTTGCTTATTAGAAAAAATTTTATTTTTTCTAAATTAAGTATTTAATTAATCCAATTAACAAAAAACACACATATTTTGTTTTGTAATACAGTCAAATACCGAAAATCTATCGACCTGAAACCCGCCAACTCTTGAAATCCGTGTTGACTCTCAAAATATAAACATTCAGTTTATGGGTTCCGGAAACTGCAACATTGAATACAAAATATCGAAGAAAAAATACTTACTGAATAATGACGTCATAATTACCAAATAATAATGAGTCATACTGGAAATACCAAATAATTGACATAATTTTTTTTTAAAAAATAAGGTAAAATAAATAAGTTGTTTTCCCTCTAATCTACATTGAGGTATAAAAGCAGACGATTCACTCAACTCTTCGTTCAAGTTCACGATTCACGTTGTTGTATTTTCTGAGCTTTGTTATTTCACAAGATTGTTTAGTGTTACCTTTTTTTTTAATCCAAATATTTTGTAGATAACTTAAGAATATTTTAAATTTCAGCCCTTTTTAATACAATGACAGATAAGAAACGCACTCATGATTTTACTGCTTGCAACGTCAAAAAACGTAAACACGTTGCATTGACGGTAACGCAAAAAGTGCAAATTCTGCAAAAAAATGGAGGCAGGTGCTACTCCTCAATTTATAGCAGAATAGTATGGAATTGCGACACGTTTGTATATGATATATGGAAAAATAAAGAAAAGCTGTTGAAATTTTACAGCAACAGTGATTCTAATACCGGAATCCCAAACCGGAAATCTTTGCATGAGGTGAAATCGGCAAACCTCGATGCTGTGTTATTTTGCACTTTTAGTATGAATATTGTGCTTTATCTTTTCTGTCCTGAAATCCACAAAATCCTAAAATCCTAAATGACTAACACGTCAACAACATAAAAAAGGACTAACATGTCAACAACAACATAAAAAATGTGTACACCATATGACTTCCTTGTATGAGATATTAAATTATCGCATTTTTTCTTGCATTTCATTTAAACTTATTGGATTGAATTAAATCTACTTTGTCGATAGTGGATAAGATGCAATAGAATAAATGCACTCTTTTTAAAGTTCACTATATTTGTTTACCATAGCGACACTCTGGCGTTAGGTTCATTTAACAGCATTGTATTTCATTCATATTATAACTCAGAATGCACAAAATTTATATCATTTCAAGAACTATCTAATTATTGCCACGTGTTCTATTCAAATACTATAATAAATCTGGAATGATCTATGAAAGAAATTAAGCAAACAAAATGAAAAAGAAACAGTTTTTCACAGACGATTGAGTATTTCTCATTCAATTAATTCAGTTGTCACTTCGTGAGAAGACAAAAATACATAAAAACACAAAAAAACTCTATTAAAAATTACGAAGTAAATCTTAAACAATCCCTCGAAAAAATTCCAGAAAGGATTAAGCATGATTTAATTTGCAATAATAAAAGAAAACGTTATCTTTGTTGTTGCGAAGCTTAGTTTCTCTAGATTGGCAACAAATCCGCTATTCTGCCAAGTTTAAAATGTATACAAACCATTTAAATGTAAAAAACCGCCACCACAAATCTAATTAGGCTTAACTTAAACAACTTTTAAATTGTTGATAACTCTACAAATATTGCATGCAGATTAACTAAAGGCATAAAAACCTTAACCGGAAGATAAGAAAAACATAATTCAATCAAGAATAGAAGAGAAACACGCCAATGTGACAATCAAAATTGCAATAACAACCTTGTATTTAGCGTACATTTATTAAAATACTTAATCGATTTCGAGGGCAGCTAAAGGTCCCTCCTCATCAGGAGAAAAAAATTACTAGAAAGGGGGGGAAAAGAAGAAAAATAAAGCATTGGCAAAGGAGTCTCAGAAACACGTCGTTATCAGCAACACACGTAGTCGTAACCGGATTTTGAATCAGAGTTACACTGGCCGCCTACATTTACTGAGCCTGGCTATCTGATCAAACATAAAACACATAGATTAAATTGGAAAAAAAAAGAAAAAGAAAAAGAAAAAAAAAAATCTGCGAAGTAAAAAAAATAGGGAGCTAGGGGCAACTTCACCTTCACGCACCAAGTCGAAAACCTACACCTCGAACAAAACCTACCAAACCTACACCTCAAATAAAACCGAACCTCGAATAATATAATTCAATCATTTTTAAAGCAAAAAATGCACAATTTACAAACATATAAGAGTAAAGAAACTGAGATCACTGAGCTGGGTAACAGAGTGGATATATGTTTACATGTACATTTGGTGTGGCCGATTGCAACCAAAATACGAGGTGCACATCTACATGTTATAGCAGTCCTACATACAAAATTTCAATGTTCTGAGGCTACTCATTTTTGAGTTATGTGAGACATGTACATACGTACGTACGTACAAACACCACAAAAAAATTCTCTTTAGAATTCCTTTTAAATCAGTTTTATAATTTTTTGGGGGGAAAGAATCTTTTACTCTGCCCTTACCCACAGATGTCACCCAAAAACATCGTTAAATTGCATTCGATAGCGGTCAAAATGGATATTTTGGTTGAAATATGATGCCTGAAACTTTTCATGATTACAATACTTCCTTTTTACTTCGTACAAGGAAGTAAAAAATAGAAGGGTTGGCTTGATTTTGAGCTTATAATACTGATTCTTTTATAGTCTCAGAAAATATGTATTTTAAAGATAAATACTCAGGGGAAAAAATTAAATACTTTTCCCACTTAATATATCACAGGTTCATGAAAATTTTTTCTTTTAAACCAAAGGATGTGGAAATCATGTTATTTGTAAGCCTTATGAATAGAAGGATTTAGAAGAATTCAGCCTTCCTCCAGAAAAAAAAAAAAAAAAAAAAAAAAAAGGTTCCAAAACCTATCTAAGAATTTATGAAGCAAATAAAAAAAATAGTTGCTCTCATTAAATTAGTAACAAAAACACAGTGTCCTCTAAAGTTCTTACGTGGCCTTTATTTTTGGAACTCTTTGTCATAGACTTCCAATTATAAAAATGTTTTAAATTTTTAAATTAATTTTATATAAAAATCAAACGTTTATATGTTTTTCTAGATCCTATGCTTATTTTTGGGGACCTTTAATACTCATTATAAGAAATAAAACAAGAAAAGTTTGAGTCCCATATGAGGAAAATTAAGCAGGATATGTAATTTCTCAAAATTTGCATTTTTTTAATGTCAATTTGCATTGACAAGTCAATTAAATAAATTAGAATGAGTTTCAAAATTTAAAAATGCTTTATTAACCACTTGCCTAATTATCCCGAGTTATCTCGCGTTCATATATATATTGCAGTTAATTATTATCTTGAGAAAACTCAGGTGAAGCAAAATTTGTTAGTACAATTTGTTTTATCACGGTTTTACTTGGCCTGGAGGAAATGAAAGGAAATATTCAGCTTTGATTGGCAGTTTGCCAAGTTTTGTTGGTTGCACATTTCTTTTGATGGGACTGGTCATGTGTTTCCCTACTGTATAGTATACGTTGGCTTGTGGATAAGTAATGTATAAAGAAGGATACTTGCATTGAAAAAAAGCAAAATAATGGCAATGATGCAATATAGCGAAAGCGATGATTTTTCAGATAGTGATTATGAAGAGGTGGGGAAACAATTTTTAAAAAAATCAAATCCAACAAGACAGTGTACTCTGTGCTCCTGTAAAAGAGATTCCAGTTGTAATCCAGTAAGAAAAGAGACCAGATACCAATGTACAGAATGTCAGGTATCACTTTGTGTTCTTCCTTGTGTCAAAAACTATCATACAAAGACTAATATTTAATTTTTTTTCGTTTGCCCGAGATAACTCGGGATAGTAAACTAATATTAAAACTAAATGCTTTTACACCTTCAAAAAATTAAAAATTCAACTTAAAACCTACATATTTTGATTTGTTTCGTTTCGTTGCATTTAATAATAAAGTTTTAAAAATGTGATGATTGAAAAAAAAATTGTAAGGGAAGCAGTTAATACTCTCAGGAAGTTTTACCCCAGAATTATAAGTTAGTAATCATTAAAAAATTCATTAAACTACAAATCTTCATGTTTAACTAATGTAAATAATTTTACTAATTGGCTAGGTGCTGATACTGAAGCCAGACAGTGTTTCCTAAAACACAAATTCTATAAGATTCTGTGAATAAGATCTCCATTTTGAAAAAAATTATACTGATCAGTAATGATTCATGATAATAGAAATGCCCATTACTTAATCTGTTAATGTTGAAAATCTTTTCCTAAAACTGATATTTTATTTTTAGTTAAGAACAAATGAAATGCTTTGCTGTTCAGTTTGTGTATGGCCATTGAATATGATGTCCAGCTTTCAAACTAAATGTCAGTTTTTGTCATATGAGAGACACATTTTTTTTTAATAATGAGTATGGCATTTTCCTAATGTATAAAATTTTAGCTTTTTGTAACTTTTACAATTTTTTTCCCTTTAAAAATAGTAAAATGTGGATATTTGCTTCATTTAAAATAATTCAGTAATTTGAAATATACAGGGTGATTTTACAAATTTAGAGGGGTGATAGTATCCATCCACAAGAGCAATAATTACCATAGAACATAGGGTCGCATTTAACACTCGCAGGCAAAAAAGAGGAATATTAGAATTCCAAACTTATAACAGTGTTGGGAAAATGAATGAATTAGACTAAAAGTTGTGCAGTCAGATTTATAGTTTAGTGAAAAACTTAGATAAAGTGCTCAAAATGCTGACCATGCATATCATTCCACAATTGACATCGGAAGTAACGACTGGCGAACTGGCATTGTGTTAATTTTGCCTTCGGCAACAATGATTCTCGCCATGAGATCTTCAGCTGAGTCCACAGGCATCTTGTACACTAAAGATTTCATCTGCCCCCAGAAGAAAAGTACAGTGAGTTGAGGTCTGGTGAGCTAGGAGACCAAGCCATAATTCCGCCATGTCCGATCCATCGTGCTGGATATGTGGCATTCAAGAGGTTGCGGAGCGTGATGGAAAAGTGTGCTGGAGCTCTTGAGCATAAATCATATGTCTGATTGGATGGGGAGCGGAATAGCCTGCAATTAACTGGGAAATACTTGTTCAAAGAAGATATGGTATATTGTGTCGGTCAAATGGTCTGGCATGATGTAAGGGCCATTCAGGTAATCACCTAGGATTCCTGCCCAGACGTTTGCGGAAAATTTCTGTTGGTGTTTGTGAGAGGTAGTGCAGTGGGGATTGCTATCAGACCAAACTTGTTGATTGTGCACGTTGAAAATGCCTTCTCTACTGCATGTTGCCTCATCACTTAATAATATTAATGCACGAAATCGTGGATAGTTATTCCTCATTCCAAGCATCTTCCCAAAATCTGCTCGGCAGGGATAATCATCTGTGTTCACAGATTATGCTTTTTGGTAGGTTTGCATGCATTCCTTGTGTAAAATACACCACACCACTAGCTGAGAAATACCCATTTTGTATGCCACAGGTCGCATACTTGTGGAACGAGCTGCTTGAAATCTAGTCAAAACATGCTCTCTCATTTCTGACATTCGTGCATTTCACAAACATCCTGCATTGCTTTTTGAGATGGCAAAAGAACCTTTTTTTTCGCAGACTTCAATTAACACTGGAAAAGGTTGCATGACTTGGAATCCGATGATCTTCATGCTTCACGTCCCTTCCCTTTCTCTTCACCTTATGTGAAGTGAATATCTGCCAATCCTTTGTACATGTATTCTGCCGTAACATTCACAGAAAATTTCAGACTATGTTATCAAGGTAATATTTGAAGCGGTGATATGTCTTTTTCAAGGACACCATTTGCTCTGATCGGATTTCTCCAGTACCAACTAAAAGCAAAATGCTGCTTCTTCATAGCGAAAATTTGCATACGGTTAATTCTTATACTCTTAGGAGATAGATAGTCTCCTTCTCCTTCCTCGATACGTCTCTACTTTCTTCTTTTCTGCCTCTCAGAAGTGAAATGCGATCTTATTTTCTTTGGTAATTATTGCTTGTCTGAATGGGTACTATCATCCTTCTTAATTTGGAAAAGCAATTTAGAATCACCCTGTATATATAGTTTTGAAAGTAAAAGTCAGTAAATACTTTTGTGGATATGGCGTATCACTTACATAGTTCAAAGTTATGTAAATTCAGTTCTGCTCAAATGAACCTTACTTTTTCAGGTTTATAAAAATCTCTATGCTGCTATTATTCAGACACCTGGATCTTTGGATCGTGCACCTTGGTGGAAAGATTTTCTGCAAAAACCCAAAGTCCATTCCCTTCAAGCAAAGTTGTAATGTAGACAATTATAATCAAAATAAATAATAGCAAGTTGAACTGTTTAAAAAAAATGCTTATTTTGTTGTTTAGAAATGAATGTTATACATAGCATATCGTTAACTCTGATTCAGAGTACTGCAAAAGCTAGATAGTATATTTTTTGACCTAGTACTTAATCATGGAATATTGCTGGACATACTTTTGTAATTGTTATATATTTTGCAAAATGAAATGTTTATGAAGGGGATATGTTTAATGCGATTTGAACGCACAAAGTTTGGGGGTAAGGTAATTTTTTATTACATTTTTATGAAAGTCATTAATTGATAGAGACTGCACTTATTCACCATGTTAGACTTTTACATTTGTATGAGAAAATCAGATTGTTCATGCATATTCTAATCTTTTAAATGCATGTTTGCATAAATTGGTTATTAAAAGAATTTTAATATGCTCTGTCATGATTTGCTGTGCCTTAAAATAAATGGATTGGTGATGCAATGCATGCCTTCTTACTGTTATTTAAAATTTATATGAAGTTCAGAATTTTATTGCAATTCCATTCCATAAATATTTGAAAAATGTTTCTTTCTCCTAATATGTAGTAGTAAATGTTTTGTCTATTAAAAATGGAATTCAGATATTTTCATTTTCAGTGTTTTCTTATTTATAGAAATTACAAATGATTAATGACTGAAAATAATCAGTACTTGAAAAATTTGATTGTGTAATATTTTTAAATACTTTGTAATGCAAATATGTTAGTATTGTACACCTGTTATTTAAGTGAAAAAGAAAAAAAAAAGTTTAGGATATTCTGCTTTGAGAGTATAACTAATTTTACTTGATTTATTTGTATGCTGTTAAAAAATATAGAAATATTGAATGAAATAAAGTTTTTTTTAATAATACATTTAATATTCACAAAAAATAACTGCTACTTTATGTATGATTGAAATTGTGAAATATTATATAAAATGCTCAGATTGTTACAATTTTACTAAAGATTATCAAGCAAGATTATGTATTAATTTAATTCATTTTACATAATAGTTGATGATCCAATGCTTGATTTCAAATTAGTAAATTAGCTTTTTCAAATCTTTATTATTCTTACATTTCATTTTATATGCATTTTCATTATTTATACATTTCATATTATTTATTCTTGTCTTTTTATTTCTTTCTTTAGTCCCAGTTTTTAACATTTAAGTTGGTAATGTTTACAATGTTGTTGTCAGCATTTAAAAGTGTGTATAATTTGTGTGCCAAAATTGTACACTTGGCAAATTTAAATTCATTGTTGAATTTGTTTTTATATTATCATAAAGTTCTTTTAATAATGCAAACTTATTAAATTTTATATTTTTTCTTAAAAACATTTTTCTTTAAATCTCATCAATTACTGACATCTAAATCTAATCTTAATTTCATATTCGGTTTTCAAATCTTTTGTATAAAAACCTGTTTATAGAAATATTACAGCAGATGGGATTTTATTTTATCAACAAATTATCAAGTAAATAATCTATGAATATTTGTTTGTTAACAAATGTGCAATAAATTTATGTTGGGCTTGTTTGTTAAAGTACTTTTTGACTTCAATAACGAGATGAAAAAGATATATGACTGCAATTTCCATACCTTTATAATTGGAAAAATTTTATCTATCTTTGGCATTTATTACAAATGAAAAATTCAATGCAGTTTGGGTGTTGAATGACATAATCTACCTGGTATAAATTGTTCTATACATTAGTTTAAGCATATACAAGATACAATATAATGAATGTTTAGACTCATCTGTTGAACAAAAAGAATTAAAAAAAGCAGATGTATGCAATCTGGTATGGTGGTGACAAATTGTGATTGAAATCATTAAATAAAATTTGCAAGTTTTGAGAAATATTGAATGCTGTAGAAACTGTAATTTACTATTGCAAAAGGTGTTTTTTCTTTGAGGGGGGAATATTAATTTACCAGAAATTAATTTTTTTTAAAGTATACACATTCATCAGAAACCTTTTTTTTTTTTTTTTTTTTATGTGAATTTTAACACTACTTATTTTTTTTCCGTGTGTTTCTGAACAGATGGTATTTAATATCCATTATATTGTGCATAGGGCAGGTGAATAAATAAGCTTTTCTAAAAAACTGTGCTCCTGAAAAATTAGCCTGCATTATTTGTATACTAAAATAAGCTGAGATTTTTAATTCGAACATTTGAAAGTAAATTGAAACATTTGATAATAAATGTGACAATTTGCAAGGTAAAAAAAATACTGTGTTTATGCAAAATAACTTTCTCTTGCATGATGGAAATGACATTTCTCTCTTTAAATGCATTGAATTTTTTTTATGTGACAATTTGCAAGGTTAAAAAAAAACTTTTCAAATCGCTGAGCCATACATATATGCAAGTCATGATATCTTTAACATAGATACGCATTTTAAAACGTGTCCAAAAAATTGTAATATTATACAAATGTGCCGCGTAGATGAAACGTAGTCAAAGTACAAAATGAAAGGGTCATTTTAGAATTATAATCAAAATATCGCATATTCATAGGCCTTTTGAGAACTTAGGTTTTTGAAACCAAACCATTGGCCACTTGGAGGATTAATTTGCTTTTGTATAATTTGTGGTACAGATGCTTGAAATAAATACAGCTTTCATGAATATAATATTAATTTTTTAGTAACTTTTTAAAGATTCCAAATAAAATTTTGAATTTTTAAGGAAATTTCATTGCATGCTTGAAGAAAGTGGGCATCGTTAGTCCTGATACTTTTCAGAAAATTATTTAAAAAAAGGAATTAAAACCATTTTGCATGAAATGCTCAACTTGGGGAAGGAAGAGAGAAAAAGGGGAAAAAAGAAATATTATGATATTAGTCATTCTACTAATAGAACTTTTTCAATTTAAAAAAAATATTTTTTTATATATTGATACTGATAGTTCACATATTGATACTGATACTCACATACTGATATTGACACTGATAGTTTTGATTTTCAGAATAGGGTTATAAATAAGCATTAACCAGCTTCAATGTGTAATGGTTTATGCTTATTTTCCCATTCAACAATTGCAAGGTTCAAATTCTTGTTCAAATATGGTAAAATTATTAATAAATATTTGTATATGATCAAAAATCAAATGTTTTTTATCTGATCACTTGTTGAGAAAAATATGTACAAAAAACTTAAAAAGTTAGTTAAATGCAGTAAACTGAAAACACTGACCATAATAAATGACATATATCTTTATATATGTGGATAATTTCAAAAGGTAAGAATTTTATTTATTCAGACATCATATATATTATATGTGACACATGTTATATTATTGTTTATTATCTTGAAATGCTGGATGTTCCTAAGAATGATTTGAATAAAAATAATCATTATAGAAGCTCTGTTCATGACTATGACTAAATTATACATTGTCATTACATGTATTTATTGTAAAATAAGAATTGTATATTGCATTTCTGAAGGTGATATGCTAGTCAAATCTTATGTAAAGGTGATCTGCATCTTCTTTGATGCTTGCTTAACAAATTCCAGTATTATCTATACTAAATAATGTTTATGTGATAGTAAAAAATTATATTAAGATGCTTCATCATTAATTACAACAGTACAATACTGTCTGAAGAAAAAGACAATTTTTCTTCAGACATTCATATATGTATTAAATATATATTGAATAATAAATCAGTATATCATATTGGGCTGAATATAGGTAACTTCGCATAATAAAAGAATTCTGAAGGTATTTTTAGGAGAAGAAAAAGCAGCATTTAAATATAAGGCAATCTTACATATATGAGCTTGATTTGGTGAAAGTATTCAACAAGAAAATCAATATGGCAGAAATAATAGAGTTTGAAAAAATATTTTTTCTTAAATGTAAAAATTAAGAAATAAGTACAAATTATCTTAATGTATTCTTTGAATGTGATATGTGATTTTCAGAAATACATTTTAAGGGTGGGGGGAATACTGTAAATTCAAGCCAATATGATTTTAATTATATGTCTGTATTATTATTTCTGGTGTGTATTATTGGGCTTTGTTATTTACATGCTTCTAATGTTTACATTGCATTAATAGCTGTTCTTAATAAATTAATAATTTTACAGTTAAAGTTTACTGTAATGTATTATTCTTACAAATGTGAAATTATAAAACTGCATTTATCAAATCAAATATTTTTCAAAGTTTTATCGTGCATGTTAGAAACTTGGAATGCAAATATTTTTCAATGAAAGATTTAAAATTTTTCGATATGGGAATTATAAAACTGCATTTTTAGAAACAGAACTATCATAATATATTTAACAGGTTTGGATAAGCAATGGTAAATATAATCCATGTCACTTAAACTTATTTATTGCCATTCATAAGAAATTGTCAGCATCTTTGCTTCATCAGCTTAATATAATACTTATTTGCATTGTTTAATGTGCATGCAATCTAAAAATATATATTAATTGAAAATAAGTTATAGATTTTTATAAAAATTTTATTGTGTTACAGTTTATTTTCATTCCAAAATGTCTTGATCATGTTTTGTAAACTATTTATTTATAGTCATTAATTTACAAGCACTATTTTATTATATTTGCATTGTGTCATATTTTAAGTTCCTATCTTAATGTATCTATGATCTCAGTGAAATATTTGCACAGCATCTAGTTACTGGGATTGAATATAAAGTATTTTTACAGCCTAGACAGACATTACATTGTTTAAACAAGTGATGTTACATGTAGCTTTAATTTTTTTTAAATCATTCTATTATATTGCAATAAATCTCAAGTATTATTTTACATTCTTGCAATTTTTTAGGCATTTGTATTATTTTCAATCTTGTGTGATTGAATAAAAGTTTTGAAATAATTGTGTTATGAATTATATTTTCTATATTTTCTATCTACAGATACTCTTACCCCTCCCCCAGTCTTTCTAGAATTGAAATAAACAGTATTTTTGCTTTTAAAGTACATTAACAGCATTGGAAAAAAAAGAAGCTAATTTTATTTGCATGGTGTTAATATTGACAAAATATTGTAGTTTGTTATCAGCATCACTATGTATTCTTGATAAAATAGCAAAAAACTTTGTTCTGTTGGCATGTGATAATCAATTTATATTACATTTTCTTTTTAAGTTGCTTCTAACGAAATCTAAAATAATGTCACTCGACATTTCATTTAGACAAATACTAATACAGCAATAATTGCACAATAAAAGAGTTTGAGATATAAAAAATTAAAAATAAGTACAATTATAGTCTATCAATCAGTCTAAAAATTTTTAATTTTTGGTTTTTCAAATTTTCAGTTGATTGATATCTTTACAGTGTATTTTTCTATGGCAATAGAAGAAGGGCTATAGGAAAATGGAATAATTCTGTAAGATTATAGAACAAAAAAGATCTTTCATGTTCTGTTGTCCTGTGTAATTTCTTAAATAACTTTTAATTTTAATAATAAAGATAGACTGTTTTAAACAGAGATTTTTCTTTTGCATTACTTAACAGGCATAGTTAAATACAGATGAGGACAAAATAATACGAACACCTGTGAAATAATGGAAAATCTTTATTAACAGAGGGTTGGATCACTCTTTGACTGAAGTACAGATTGAATGCAAAATGGGATAGATACATAAAGGTCATGGACAATATTTAAAGGAATATTGAGCCATTCCTCCTGCAGAACGGTCTCTAATTCCAAAAGTCTGGATGGAGGTGGAAATCAGGAATGAAGTTTGTACTCTAAATATGCCCATAAGTGTTCAATAATATTCAAATCCGGAGACTGAGGGGGGCCAAGCGAGATGTTCAATTACATTGTTATGCTCTTCGAACCATTCTTGAATACACGTAGCAGTGTGGATAGGGGCATTGTCATCTTGAAAAAGCGGTCGCTCCCCAGGGAATACAGTCTGAACAAAAGGATGGACATGATCCCCTAGAATGCTTAGATAGTGATTGGATGTGATCCTTCCATGCAAAATAACAAGTAGCCCAAGATATCACACCCCATACCATAATGGCGCCACCCCCATGCTTCACAGTCGGCAAGAGGCAGTCAGGATGAAATGCTTCTTTGAGCGTTCTACAGACATAAACGAGCCGGTCGTCTGAAATAGGGTGAATGATGATTCATCTGACCATATTACCTGTTGCCACTGCTGTGGGGGCCAACCCTTGTGATCTCTGCACCATTGGCGTCGCTTGAAGGCATTAGTTTCTGTCACCAAGGGTTTACGAATTGCCACTCTGCCATAAATTTTCGCAGCATGAAGTTACCTTTTGACAGTTTTTGTTGAAACGGGGTCCTGGAAATGACTGTTTATTTCGGATGTTATCTCGGATAATTATTGCTTGTGCTTTCGAGCTACTATGCACTTCAAGACTCGTCTATCCCAATCAGCCTGCTTTGACTTTCGGCCACTGTTGTGCTTTGAAGACGTCGTCTTACCCTCTTTCATGTACGCTGTCATAACGGCTGATACCATACTCCTTGCACACCCCCCAAGGTTTGCTGTTTCCATAACCAATGCTCCACTTAATAATTATGCACTCCGACTCTCATTCCTCTTTGGAACTCTGACAAGTCTGACATTTCAACTTCTCACAGACAGTTCAATCGAAGCATGCAACGCAGGTGACTGCTGTTGAGAGACTGATACTTTCCTTTTCACGCTCACTAGGTGGCAGATTTCTGTTGCAGGTGGCACGGCTGTACTGCAAATGTGAAATACGTCATACTTTTTAACAGGTGTTCGCATTATTTTGTCCTCCATCTGTAAATTCTTAACAAAATCTTGGTATTAGAAAAAGAAGATACAGTGCTGTTATATGAACTGGTACGTATTATTTTGGTTCATAAATTTTTTTATCTCACCACTTAGTTATGCCAGCTCTTCGTCTAGTTCTTTAATAGTGTTATTGAAGTTATTTTTTTTTTAATTTCACTTATGTAATTCAATGCATTCCTCACATTTTTTGTTAAAATGTTTTGTTAAATTCTTGAATTAATTTTTTTGTGAGAAATAACACAAAACGTATTTATTTCAAAATATGCAGGACTAATTAAATTGATATATTTATCTGTTTGATTTTCATCAAAATATATCATTTCCATTTAAAAGGCCTTTCTTGAGTATTAGTGTAAAATTAATGCTATTTTGCTAATTCCTCATCACTATAAAACCCACTTAATTCATGAACGTACTGTGATAAATTTCATAGCTAATCTATACAAATCATTATTATTACTAAGATATACATTGATCTTTGTCAGTATTTTGCCTCCAAATTGTAAACCCTGATTTCCTTATTCTTTAATTCCTCCACGAAGGCATCCCTCCCCTTAGGCAGATAGCCCTAGAGTTCTTTGCCATAATTAAATACACCACCACACCTTATTCTTTAATCTCAATTTAATTTGCTTCAGCTTGAACAAAAAGATTTTAAGATTAATCTTGATTGTAGTGAAGCATAGCACTAATCCATTTCATTTTGCTTTAATTGTATCTGCTAAGCATGACCACATAATACCGCATAGTGAAATGTGTCTCATTTTTGATAAATTAGAATTCCAAAGTGTTTTAACAGGAAAGTGGTGCAGAAAAATATGTAAAAAACTTTTTCTACTAAATTAACTAATGGAATGTGCTACATAAAGGTACATCATATACTGTTTTATTCTGACAAGCAGATCTTTATACTGACCAGATACTATCTGAAATTTTCAGGTATCTGGCATTCATCATTTCCTTAGCTATCCATGTAGCCGAACTTTAGTGTAATTAGCACAGTAATTTTATCTTACGAAAAAAAAAGGCAAAATTCACAAGCTATTGCAGCCTTTAATTTACATTCATAAATTTGCAGTAAAGGATTATGTAAACTAGAAGACATTTACTTTGGAATTGTATTGAATATCATTATTTTAGAAAAAGCTTAAACTGGATGGCATTTTCTGTACATACCAGATTTTGCACATTTTAAAAACATTATCATTTGGTATCAGAATTGTTTATCGGCATTTAACAGGTGACTATATTTACTTTTGAGAAATTATCATTCTCAATTCAGTTCTGTCTTCTAGTTTGGATTTTCAAATAGAATTACTTTATATTTTTGCAGAAAGCCTAGTGGAAAGTAGTGTAAAAATGCTTTGAATCCCAAAATAATCTAGTCTGACAAATTAAACAATATTAAAAGGTGCGAAATTTTAACATTTATTTCATACTTATGGAGAATATTTAACATATGACAAATCTTCGAAAATTTCTTAATATTCAGGCTGTGCAAAATTACTATCCTTTAATAAATAATTTTTTTTTTTTTCCAGTATAGGTCTATTCATGACACAAGACAAAATAGCAGTTTTCCTTAAGGTTATTTGCCTCTAACCTATAGCTAGTATGGTAAATAAAAAACAAATTGCATTTGAGCCCATGTATTTTAATAATATTCTTTCATAGCTCCCAGTTCTCCCAACAGATCACAAATCTCCCACTTTTAATTTTAGCTTCAGCTAAGGAAAATATTTCCTAGTAAAAAAATTAATTTTATAATGAAATTTAAGGTGTGTAAATTCCATTTCCAACCCCCAACTGATTTAAAGCATAATTTTTCTTATCAGCTTTTATTTGACCTGAACATCTACTACTACTATAGACTACTACTACATCGACTATAGACATTTATATAACTTTTTATGAAAATTCAAGAAATTTTAATCAGTAATATTTATATTTAATTTTATTTTACATTAATTTGTGATATATTATTTACCCCCACAAATAGTATATCGTTACAAAATGTCCAGGCACTGTGAGATAGCTTTCCTGCAAAGCAGTTTTACGGTTACCATAAAATGGCAAGGGAAGGCAGGGTTGCCACATTTGGCGACAAAATTGGTGATATGCCATGGACGGATGGAGAACCTTCTGGAATGAATTCTTATCAGTTTAGCTCAGAATGTTATCGAACACAAGGCAAAAGCTATATAAACCCTGCTGGTCTGCAGTCAGAGTGTGTGTGCCTCGCCTAGAGTGCGAGATAGTTAGTATCGAGTTGGTGTCTCGTCAATCGAGTTGACAGCAGCGAGTGCCGAGTGGGTTGTCGAGTGCACCAAAAGAGTCTCGTAGTGTATCGCGGTTAGTGCATCGTCGAGAGAGCGTGTTGAGCACCGGGAACGACTGAGCTGAAGAGTCGGGAGCTGTGCTCTGTGTGTTGTCGAGTGCATCGCGAGTTGTAGCATGGAGAGTCTCGAGATTACGTGGAGTTCCGAGAACGACCAAGCAGAGTCGGGAGCTGTACTCTAGTGCTTTGCTGTGAAGCTGTCTCCACTGTAATAGCATGATAACCTGCAGGCTGTGTTGCTGATCGTGTCAGCGTGTTTATTGTAGTTCTTCGACGGCTGTGTAAACGTGTTATTGGAGCTGTCCTGACTAATAGTGGCTAAATAAAGTGTGTTTCAATACTTCATCAGGTAGTATTGTCATTATTCACTCCAAATCAATACAAACGTGAAGTAAGAAAATAATGTAACAACAGGTGTCAGAAGAGAAAAACGCAATAATTGGTGTCAGAAGTGGGATTTGCAAGTGAATGCCAGTGACCCGCCTGCAGAGGAAAGCCATGGCGAAGGAAACAAAGACTTTGATGGACTTCTTAGCCGAGATGAGGGCTGAGATGAAAGCCGGACAGGAAGAGATGAGAGCCGAGATAAAAGCCGGATATGAAGAAATGAAAGCTGGACTGACTGAGATAAAAGCTAGATATGACGAGATAAAAACTGGATATAAAGAGATGACAGCTGAGATCAAAGCCGTACTGAAAGAGATGAAAGCCAGATATGATGAGATAAAAGCTGGATATAAAGAGATGACAGCTGAGATCAAAGCCGGACTGAAAGAGATGAAAGCCGGACTGAAGGAGATGAAAGCCACACTGGAAGAGAAGAACGCCGGATGAGAAGAAATAAATGTCGGCCAAGAAAAGGTGCGAAACCAAATCCCACAGATAAAAGTGATGCTTGCAGAAGAAACTGGAGCCATAAAAGAAGATGTGGGAATGACAGAAGTGGTGTCTGAAGAAACAAAAGATGAAGAAATAAAAGAAGTAGCTAATGAACTGTCTGAGAGAGATCAAGAAATGAAGGATGAAACATCTAACGGGATTAAAGAAAAAGAACAAAAAATGAAGAAATAAAAAAACGGGAAAGGAGCTTTTGATTCTCAAGTACCTGAAGTGGAAGAAAACGAAAATGCGACTTTTAAGTTTGTCAAAACTGATAATAGAGTTGCAAAGTCTCAGTTAGCAAAAATTGAACCATCTGAAAGTGCTTGTGATGCAGAGATGGGAGAAGCTGATGTAGAACTTACGAAGAGTGCTCCAGTATTTCAAGTAAATTCGTCCACTTCGCAAACTACGTGTGTGTCTCATGGTGCAAGTTTTACAGACAAGGACTTGATTCTAAACCCGGATACTTCTGCTTGTAAAGGATTGGATTCTATTCGCGACCCTGGTTCAAACATCGGAACTGGTTCCCAGGAAACGGAGGAAAATAAGCATGTATCAATTGCTAAAAATTCCGAGGTGAATTGTATGTCTGCTGAGAATGAACTACAGAGTGGTGAAGAAACTGTTTCAGATCTTCCTGTGGAAGAAAAGTTTGAAAGGACTATATTTTCAGACTGTGATATGCAAAACAGAAATACATCTGAGAACTGCAATGGAAAAATATTTAACCAGGGTGTAACTTAATGAAAAGACTGAGACTGAAATTCATTCTTAACTTTAATTTGTATAATTTAAAATTGTGATGTGTTTAACTTGTGTATCTAACTTGTATATAGTGTAAATATTTGTTTTTTTAGTTATGTTATTTATTATTACATTTTGTTTGTATCGAATTATGCTTCTGAACGAGTATTGTACTGCCCCGGACTTGCAGTCCTTGGGAGGGGGCGATGTTACAAAATGTCTAGGCGCTGTGAGATAGCTTCCCCGCAAAGCAGTTTTAGGGTTATGGCAAGGGAATGCAGGGTTGCCAAATTTGGCGAGAAATCACCCATTTGGAGACAAAATTGGCAATATGCCATGGAACACAAGCCGAAAGCTATATAAACCCTGCTGGTCTGCAGTCAGAGTGTGCGTGCCTCACCTAGAGTGCAAGATAGTTAGTATCGAGTTGGTCTCTTGTCTAGCGAGTCAAACCCTGCGGAGAAGATCGAGTTGACAGCGGAGCAGCATGTGCCGACTGAGTCATTGAGTGCACTGAAAGAGTCTCGTAGTGTATTGTCGAGAGAGCGTGTTGAGCTCTGGGAACGACTGAACCAAAGAGTCGGGAGCTGTGCTCTGTGTGTCGTTGAGTGCATCACAAGTTGTAGTGTGGAGTCTCGAGAGTATCTGGAATTCCGAGAACAACCAAGCAGAGTTGGGAGCTGTACTCTAGTGCTTTGCTGTGAAGTTGTCTCCACCATGATAGCCTAACCTGGAGGCTGCATCACTGATTGCATCAGCATGTTTATTGTAGTTCTTCGATTCTTCGATGACTGTGTAAACGTATTATTGGAGCTGTCCTGACTAATAGTGGCTAAATAAAGTATGTTTCGATACTTCATCAAGTAGTACTGTCATTATTCACTCCAAATCCATAGGAATGTGAAGGAAGAAAATAACATAAAAACAGGTGTCAGAAAAGAAAAACGTAACAATATAATTAATTAGTAATTTTATTTCAGTGTATTTAAAAGTACTTATAATCCCGACGAGTGTATTTAAAAGTACTTATACTGAGTACTTATACTGAGCCTTGGCAGTGTATTTAAAAGTACTTATACTGAGAAATAAGACTTTGATACTTTCCTTCTCTACTCACGATTTTGCAGTATAAAAAGAGAAGGAAAATTACAAAATGTAATTAATCAAAGACTTTAGAATATCCAATGAAACTAATATATTTTATAGAATCATATTATAAATAATTCAGTAACCTGAACCATACATTATAAATTGGATTTTTTTAAAAATCATTTGGAGTTCTTTCAAAATGGCATTGCCACACAGCGCAAAGAAAACCAGAAATCTCTCAATTTTCATACTTCGAGGCTGGTAGTTACACATATTATAGATGTAATAAGACATATTTTCAGTGTTAATACAAACTTTTGAAGATACATTATACATGAAATTTATTTATATAACATAATTGAAATTCATATCAAACAGTTGCCAGTGAATGTAGTAGCATCATTAAAAAGGAATTAATTGTTCATAAAAATTTAATTTGTAAGTGCTTAAGCATATTATGTTTCGATGGTATCAAAATTTAAACAGAAAAATGTTACTATTTAAGATACTTTTAAGATGCAACAACAGTAAAAACTTTCCAAGTTGAAAAGAAATTATTACTCTTAAAATCCTTAATTTAAATCTGCATGCCAAAGAAATTCCAGGCAGATAGCAGAAAATCAAATAATTATTAGAAAGATTAAATGGTTTTGTTTTCAATTCAAGATTGATATGGCATAATTTTTTTTTTTAATTTACAAAATTATGCTGCCACAGGTCATGAAGGAAAAAAAAATTAAAATCATAAGATGATATAATGATATCAATCTATAATGATATCAAAATGTTCTTTTAAAAATTAGTTATTATTACAATTACTTCAGTTTCCCTTTTAAAAATATAAAGTCTGAAACATAAAAATCAACATTTTATTTCAGTAAAAGTACAACAGCATTTATTGAAATCTGAAACTTTGATAAAATAAAAACTTGGGTATACATAAATACTGAAGTAAGGCATTTACAAGTTTCAATAAGTAGTTATATTTCAAACACAACTGACTTTCAGTACTTATGCCTTGGCAGTGTAATGCAAAATGCTGTTTTATGATGAAGTGAATCTGATATGCTTCAATTATCAAAATAAATATATAAATTTCCAAACCAATAAAACCTATTGGCGAATACTGGAGACAAATCTTGTTCAGAATTACTGAAAACTGCCCGACTGACTTTGACTATCACCTTGAGAAAGTGATGCAGCCTAAAAAAGAAACAATTTAAATTACAATGAAAGCTGATTTCAATACATGAAGTATAAATGCATATTAGGACATCAATGCAAAAAATGCTTTCACTTAATATTTTAACCTTCGTTGTTTAATATACAGTCAAAAGTCGTTAATCCGGACTCGTCGGGACTTCGGCGATTCCGGATTATAGATCATCAGTTTAAATCTGGTAAGATGGCATGCAGAAATTATAAAAAAAAATATGAAACCGTAATTTATGAATAAAGAACATTATGATCTAAAGGGTATCAAAATTTACAAAAAAAAAAAAAAAAGCTTATATTTATTTGTTTACTTTATTAAACATTTCTTTCAATGTAAGTTTTTTAAGTTGCTCTTATTTTATGTGATAATACTTTCTCTTTAATTCTATAAACAGAGACTAATTTCTTGTTCATTTACGAAGTTCTGCTGTTCAAGTCCCGTTAATTGCTGTGCCGAGAATACCGACTAACTTGTCAATCGAAATTTTTTCGTTTTCACTAACCTCTCTGTCACATTCTTCATGTCTTTATCCATTTTTTGCAGCAATTCCACTTTTTTGTTTGTTGGACATCGAAACATACTTTCGTTTTGTAGATCCTTTGGAAGTTCCAGCATCGGAAATTCTATTTGACATAATCGAAAGTTCAAGTTTACTTTTAATAAAATTGCTCTACAGTCTGCAAAAAATATAAGTGGGATCCAATTCGAAGATTAAGGAACAATGCAATCATTAACATTAACTGAAATAGATAATTAGGTAATTTTAGCTTACACCGTCTGTTATACATTAAACGCGCAGGCAAAAACGTATTCTGCACTTGTGCACACGCATATGTGCAGTAGTCAAGGTCTTACGCTCACGCGTAAAACGCCTGGGCGCATGTGCCAACGCGGCGCATGCGCAGAAAGTTTTTAGCTTTGAGGTCCAGATTATAGATCATTCCGGATTATGGGTGTCCGAATTAACGACTTTTGACTGTATATACATTTTAAAGTTCATATACATCAACAATAGAATTAATCATCTAATTAGAATGCTTAATCTATTAGCAATGCTTAATTAATGCTATCTAATTAGAATGATTAATTCTTATTTAAATAATAATTAAGCATTCTAATTACAGCTATTTTTAATTGCGTTTAATCAAATGTCCTTTCAACAGTCCCAGGCGCAGTATTTTTGTGCCCAAGCTGATCAATACAAGAAGCACTCCATATAAATTAAACATATTAATTTTTTTAAACAATAATAACCCTTTAATTAAAAGTACAATATTTCAAATATTTGCAGTCTATTTTAAATGCAACCTAATGTAAATTTACATGCTTTTTGTAAGATTTCATCATCAATGGTGTCATCATATAGTAATTGAGTAGTATCATTTTTTGTAGACAGGACAACAAAGGAATTAATTTTTTAAATCTCAAACAAGTTGTTAACAATTTCAATTTGCCAAATTGGAAATATGATTCTATATATTCCATGAGTGACTGCAACCCCATTTCAAAGTCCAGAAAGCTACAGTGGAGTAAAAATCTTACATAATTTCAAATTCTGATAATTAATGTGATACTATACATCTTTTGTCAGAAAAGTTCCAGGACAAAGGTCATAAGAAATAGAAAACTACATTTAAAGTAACGATCTTAGTTGCTATTAAAGTAGTCCCCTTGGCTATCTATACACAACTGCCAATGTTCCTGGAGGTCTTGGAAGCAAACAGGGAAAACTTCAACTGCAGTGCATGCAAGCGCATTTGTCACAGCTCACAGCCTGTTGGATGTCTGCAATAATCTTGATGAAGTTCTCCTTTCAGTCACTTTTTCACTCAAGGAAACAAGAGAAAATCACAATAATCTTTGACTCAAATGTGGGATCACATCTGGCTCTATCCAATAGTTTATCAGAAATTCTTCTTCTTCTTTCTTTTTTTTTTTTTTTTTTTTTTTTTTCTGTTAGTAAGCGAGGGAGGATTCTTGCATTAAGTTTCCATTTCCCTAAATCTTCACGTAAAATCTTATGACAAACATCATGATTCAAATTCAGTTCTTCTGAGATCATACACATAGTTACACAACAGTCTTCTTGCAATAACTGCCTCACAAGCTCACGTTTGCATCAGTATGTGCTATAGACGGGAGACTAGCTCTGGGATCGTGTTGCACTGAATCTCCGCCTTCATAAAACCTTTTGTGCCACTCAAAAACACTACTTCTTGAAAGTACCTCGCCTGCATATGTTTGCTTAATCATGTTTAACGTTTCACTAGGGGTTTTCCTGAGCTTAACACAGAACTTAACATTCACTCTTTGCTGCTCACAATCAGCATTCATTGTGTCACCGTAATGAATACAAAAACAATCCGAACAGTGTATTGATAAGCACAACCCTACCACCTAGTAAGTTTGCATGGAAAGACAGCCAACGTCATGTCAAGTAAGAATACATACCAGGTAACATAAAAAACAACATTTGTTCCTTTTTAATACTGCAAATTCAAAAATCAAGAAAATTATCCTGAAACTTTTCTGACCAAGGATGGAGATGTAACATCATGTACATTCATTCTTACATACGTATTTTTAACCCTTTCCGACATGCTACCTTTTAAAGTTGAAATTTTGATTTTAAAAAAAGGTAGGCAGTCTAATTAGGCCTTGAGAAGTACACAAGTAAAATTTTGTGAAGATAGCACTTGTTTTAATTATTATTGTTGTTATTATTCTGTGGGATTGAACAGAGCTTCAAAAAGAGTGCTGAAACGAGCATTGCTGGGAAGTGTGTAAAAGAGTAAGAGATTTTGCCTATAATTAACCCTCTCAGTATTATGGCCAGAAAATTCTGTACAGAAGGCTGCCTTCTACACTGGAGTAAAAATTAAGGACGAAGTCGAAAAATTAGCATATCAGCTGAACGAAGAGGCAGAGCGGACAGAAAGACCAATCAGGAGATTAAGTAAGGTGATGTACGGTAGCACATGCGCAGATATGCAGGTAGACGTAATGGGGGAGTGTCTGATTAGTATAAAGCATGTTGTCAGTGTAAGATCAGTATTTCTGGTAAAGAGATTGCACGCCGTATAGCAGTTAAAATCACACCGAGTTGCTGCCTCAGCGAGAAATGGCGAATAATCAATCTGTTAGACGACATCTGGATGCTTTTACCCGAGGTCGAATCATTAGGAAGTTGGAGGAAGGCCACAGTGTGACAAGTGTGGCTGCAGAGTTCGGAATTGCTCACAGCATCGTTTAACGACTTTGGAGACAATTTCCAACTACAGGAACAGATATCCGGGGGTTTAGTAGTGGTCGTCCACAAGGAACCACACCCGCAGATGACCGGTATATTGCCTTACAGGCCAGAAGAAACAGGCGGCAGACAGCGGGAGAAATCGCTAGACACACAACACAGGCGACTGGACGACCGATATTGCGTTTTACTGTGGCCAGAAGACTGCACGGTGGTGGTCTGTTTGCACGACGCCCTGTACGGTGTGTACCTCTACGCCTGCCCATCGGAGAAGGCGTTCTCTGTGGTGCCGGGAACACCGGAATTGGAGAGATAATGAATGGGAACGAGTACTCTTTACAGATGAGAGCAGATTCAGTCTGAGTAGCGATTCTCATCGCATACTCATCTGGAGAGAGTGGGGAAGCCGCAATCATCCCTCGAACATCATTGAAAGGGACAGGTATGGAGGCGGCGGTGTTCTCGTTTGGGGAGGCATCATGCTTGGTAGTCATACAGACCTTCACATCTTTGACGCAGGTTCAGTTAACGGGACCCGTTATTGTAACGAGATTCTTCTTCCATATGTGCGTCTTTTTAGAGGCGCTATGGGTCCGCAGTTCCTTTTCATGGACGACAATGCACCATGTCATCGCACAGTAGCTGCCGAACAGCTCTTAGAGAGTGAGGATATTGAATGTATGGATTGGCCGACACGATCTCCGGATTTCAATCCCATTGAGCATGTATGAGATTTTCTAGGCAGTCGCTTGGCAGCTCGTACGTTACCACTAGTAACAATTCTGGAGCTTCGATTGGTGCTGCAAGACGAATGGGCAGCAATGCCTCAACAACTCATTGACACCCTCATTCTCAGCATGGGCAGACGCTGTGAAACCTGCCTAGCCAGTCAGGGGAGATCATATCCCCTATTAAAGACCGGATGTTTCTTGCTGGACACCCATCACAGGGATGTTTCGGCCTTCGGTCGCATTGCGCTCCATGCTACTTTTTCAATAAAGCTTCTTTTTATCTCTGTGATTTCTCTTTTAGTAAGTGTTGCTTACATTACTCATGTCCTTACGTATTGGGGATCTTACGGTATTAAATGTGTTGATTTGGAAAGCTTTTGTACAAAGCTATATTGAAAAACCGTCTCGTCCTTAATTTTTGCACACCAGTGTATATTCATTACACATGAAAATTTCTGCTAGCTTTTAATGTATCTGACTTCGGTTTCGATGTATACTGGAAGAAAAGGAATTAAGGTACAAAATCAGAGAATCATTTGTTAATAAAAATCAAGAAAATACCACTTATTTATAACATTTCGAGGAACTTTGAAATTTCAGGCCTAAACCCGTAACGCTCGGAGAGTTAAAAAACACTAGATTCTGAATACCGTAGCAGATTTGGCATTACCCAGGGTGTGCCATGGGGAGACCTGCTACTCTATACACTCTCATAAAAGCTCTTTTTTGGTTACATGATGATTACATGCGTATGAATGAAAAAAAAAAGTAACTTGGGTATATGATATTTACACTTTAAGTCTATTTTTTTCATGGTGGTACTTTTCAAAGAAAGTGACACCACCTTTAAAAAGCACAACAAAATATTGCATGTTTTGCACATGTACCGGGATCCGTATCAGATTCCCTATCTGAAAGCAATTCGTGTAGCACTTTTAGTGCTTCAGAGATGGTCAGCCCTCTCCGATCCGTTTGGAAAATAATTAAAAATCCTAAAAAATAAACTAATATTATATCTACAATTAGAAATTATAAACTATAAAACAAAATTAAATAAACATGTACAACTCAAAACTATTAAACGTAGTGCTAGTGAAAACTTCTTTGAACGAAAGCGAAGAGCATAAAAGAGAATTGCTCTAGTGAAAAACCAAACAAGCTAAGTGATAAAATTACCCCTTGACCTTCAGAAAATCACCCCAATAATTAATATTTATATTATCAAAAATATAGGTAATATTTTTGATAGTTGATAACCAAATGTCCCATCAAAAAAAAAAAAAAAAAAAAAAAAAAGGGGGGGGGAAGATTTCTTTGAAAATGAGGATTTTAAAAAAACTAAACATGGCTGAAATATATGGACTGGTTTGTGTTGAGCTGCCATCTATTATAAATAAAGAAGATTCAAAATAACCTATAAATCCTTTTTCATTCAATTTTTCTGTGCGTGCAGAAGGAAATTTTAAGGTTCTGTAAAGGGTTCAACAATTTCATTAACAGAAAAGTTAACTTTTTAAATCTGTTAAATGTTAATATATGTTTCACTATATCATTTCACAAAAAGTTATTACATATTTTTTGTATATACTCTTATTATATCTTCTGGGATAGGATTACTTAAGTAAAGCACCAAATAGTGACATGCCCGAGTCACGCAGTTTATCAACATTTAAACAAATTAATTGCTAAACTTAGCTAGCTTCTCAGGGTAAAGGAGGTTCTGAGAATCAGTATAAATATATTTTTCTTTGGCTAACAACTGAAAATTCAATATCATCAGCATGACATTTTGATGTAGATTTTTTATTTAATCCTTGAAGTATTAGTTTGGAGCCTTAAGGTTATTAACATGTACTTGGAGATCAGGAACTATTCGCAGGAACAGAATTATTCTTATAATATAAAGCATTTTAGTGAACTATCCACCTATTAAATAAATTATCCCTAAAATCTTTACTAGCAATGTCCCGAGAGGGATTTTCTGATACAAAAACTTAAAATGTACTTTTGTTTAATAAGAATGAAAATTTCACAGCATTTCAGCTATCAACATTTAATAATGTTTTATAATATCATCCACACAATTAAATGCACTTTGAATAGTGGGTTCACAGAAGCAAGTTACAATGAATTTAATCAGTTTTGTCTATACCAGGCATTTGTTCTGATTTTTCTTTTAGCCTGACCATTTCAGCCCCAAAGTTTACAAACCAATTTTTTCTGTTTCTGTACAAGATAAGTGAATATCTTGTTGACAGTTTCTGATTCTTAGTCTAACAGAAATTTTCATATCTTCTGAAGTGATATTTAACAAATCAACTGCTAACTTTTTAAAGTAATGAAAGCAGTTTTTTACTATCCAGAGGAGGATTCATGCCATTAAATCTGACGAAAACACAGTTCTTGTCCTGGGTTGGAGGGGTATAATCAGGCAATCCTATATAGGCCTCTTTCAGAATGCATTTCCAAACCTCTTTACTCTTGTTTACTATACCTTCAATTGCCATTTCCTTTAACCCTTTCCGGCACAGTGTGCCCAGTATGGGCACACCCAAAACATTCCCAGGAAAATTGAATGGAAAAGGCTTTACAGGTTACTTTTAACCTTCTTTAGTTATACTAGATGGCAACACAACACAAACCAGTCCATACATTTTAGCAATATTTATTTTTTAAAGACCCTTATTTTTTCAAAGAAATCTTCCAGATTTTTTTAGGATATAAAATAAATTGTTTGAAAAGAAATTTCTATGTTATTTTCTTAGCTGTATGCTGATCTCTTTATTCTGTACTAGTTTTAAATTTTTACCTTGAAATCCTGCCTAAAATCAAACGATGAACATCTGGTGTGCCCATAGGGGGAGCATTAAAACACCAGGGCCAGACCAACAACTTTATCTTTGTTTTACTGCAGTAAGTTCTTCTGTTTTTTCTTTTTTGATTTTTTGGAGGGGAGGTTTGGTTATCAACTAAGAAATTGGAGTGTTTTCTGAAGGTCAGGGATAATTTTGATTTTTCACTAGAGCAGTTCTCTTTTTTTCTTTTGCTTTCACTGAAAGAAGTTTTGTTAGTTCTATATTTTGATAGTTTTCAGTTGTAGATGTTTATTTAATTTTATCTTACAGTTTATATTTTCTTCATCTATTTTTTTCAATTTTTAATTATTTTGCAAATGGATCGGAGAGGGCTGACCATTTCTATTTAATTATATAACCAAATGAAGTTATTTCTATTTAATTTATATATTCAAATGAATTTATGTTCCACATTAAACTACTTAAAAATATGGGTAAATTCGTAATTACATTTTATAAAATAATAAATAAATAATAAAAAGAACTTGTTGGACAACAACAGTGATAACAGATGATGTTATAATATTTAAGAATTGCTTTTATCCACAAATGTATTCACAATTTGGAATATATAAAACTGTTAAATCCTTCATCAAAAGTAAGCTACCTGCTGTACAAAGAAAACAACAATGTAGCAATTAATCTTGCATTTTAAGATGAATTCTTTGAATACTGATTTAATTAATCTTCTTTTTCTAGATAAATAACTTCAATTTCTAATTAAATCCCTCTCAGCTACTTAGAAAGGTAAGAGGACAATCTGCTGAGTGAAAGAGAAGCTTTACAAGATAATCAATCAAAAAAAAAAAAAAAAAAAAAAAAAAAAAAAATCCCATTAAAAAAAGTTCTGATGTTTTTACACAAATCTGAAATCAATAATTATTGTTTAAGTTCTCATGTAAATATTGCTCTTCAATGTCATTTAATATTTTGGTTCCTTTTATTTCTGCTGTTATTTATGCTTTGTTATTAATAATACACTCTTTATGCTTTGAATGCTGATTAAATTTATATATCCAAATGAATTTATGTTCCAGATTAAACTACTTAAATTTACAGATAAATTCTTACTTATATTTTACTGCTAATTATAATACTGGTTATTCTTTCCTTCCATTTTTAGCCAATTTCAACCAACCATGGACATTGTCACTACTATTAAAGAAGTTAATCAGAAGTTTACTATATGTATTAATTTTATAGCTTTTTATGTATTGTGAGTAAAACTGCTATAACTTGGGGACATTGGCAATGGAATACGCTTATAAACGACTGTACATCAAAGCCTATTTAAAAAGTTCCTTTTGTTAATTTTATTATTATATCCTCCCCCTAAAAAAAGGTTTGACATTTAGGCATTCATTTCTTTTTATTATCCTCATTTTTTCATTGTTATATTTCTATCACTGATTTGACCTGCACAACAGGAGGACATTAAAAACAGAAACAACATGAATTTGCATTAAAAATTATTCAATATAAAATTTAACCCACTTTTCGTCTTGCATCCCCCAGAACACCTTTTGACTTATCTAAATTTCCATTTTTTAAGATCTTTTAAATATTCCCTCTACACCTTTACCTTTAATAATCTTAATTTTTTCTTATCTTCAATTCTTTTCTCCAAGAATATATATATATATATATATATATATGTTTCAATGTAGAAGTTGTAATGAAAATATGCTGGAAAAAAATTAATACACAAGCAATGATCATTATTTTAAAATAATAGTTAATTTTTCATTTTGTTTATGCTGGCATTAGCATCAAAAAATAGGAATTTTTACTAGTACTTCCAGGCTTAATTTCTTAAACGACAATAAATAAGCTGAAGGATCTAATTCAAAAGGATCTAATTCCTGACATAATACCACATAATTCATTTTTACATATTTTACTTTTACAGTATCATTTTTTTTATAGTTAATTCTGTGAATTTGTCTAATACTTTATGATTGGTAAGGAAACTGTTTTCTTTTTTCTCCCTACAAGTGAAGAATGGATACATTGCAAGAAATATAGTAGAGCATGCAATATCCGAGATAAAATTTTTCCACTGTAATCTATATAGAATATGTGTTTTTTAATGCTAATAACTTTGCATTCTTTAAAATTTCTATTGATTAAAACAATTCTATCCTATAAGCTCAAGATGTATATCTTATCCATACCAAACAGAACATCATTTTACAACCGTTTACATTTTGATGCTTGATGCAGTCACATTGGTTACATTGGCCCTGATGGGTTGCAATGTCAAATTAAAATTTTTAAAGTTTTCACTTTTCTAGTTATAACTAATTCTCACTGCATATTACTTCAACTTCAGGAACAATGCAAAATATCTCTTATATTTTATTGCATATTGAGAGTATTATAAAAAGCTTTATTACATATTATTATTTAAAATTATTACTAAAGCTTTTTACAGTGAAAAGTACTTAAAAATTAGCTTTATATATATATATATAGAGAGAGAGAGCTAAAAAAATTAGCTTTATAATATATATATATATATATATATATATATAGTACTTTTCAATATATATATATGTAGAAAGAAACTTTAAAAAAAATTATAAGTTTTTGTATCAAGCTTTTACAGTATTATACATAAGCTGTGTTAAATAATAATGACAAAACACGAGCTTTTCATGTCCATGAGAAGAACTAAGAAAGCAGATTGTATTTACATTACAGATGTAGAAAAGAACAAAAATCCATGCTTCACGCAGAGATGTAAAAGTTCTAAATGCACAATAGTTTGAATCATTTGCTCTAAGCGATTCATGATGTTAAAACTTCATTAAATGTATCTAAGCTAGAGGTTGAGTTAACAAAAGAATAACAAAGTAATTCATTACCTGTTTGAACCTCTGTAACTGAAAGAGAGCAGCTGTAAGGAGTGGTCGTACAAAATTTATCTCGAATTCCGTCAAATTATCCACTTGAGCATGAGATTCTTCGCTCCTTATGAATGCATCAACGGAGCTACGCAGTTTAGCCATTCTGATATCCCATATGTCTTTAATTAGAGTTTGTACTTCATCAGCATTTGGTATGTCTGGTGCTGCTACGTCGAAAAGCAACTGAGCAATTTCTTTGTAATGTTTGCTAGGCATCGGTGTAAAAATAGTAGAATCTGTTTCCTCTTGTTTGATCTCTTCCAGTTTTTCAACACTCATCCATTCTGGAGGTATTATCCTACATTTCTGTCTTTGACGAAGATTAATTGCTAACCAAACAGGAACCTGAACAGGAATGCTAGGGGTGAATGGCCCACAATCTCCACGGATTAAGTACAACTTCCCATGAGTAAAATTTGGAATTACTGTAACTACCTCTTGTTCAGCCAAAAATTCTAACTCAGACGGATCCATTTCTAAATGTTTGTGTTACACATTAAAAATTGGTAAAACTGGAAATTGACACATTATTAAACTATCTCAAATGTTTATAAACATTTAGAATCACATTTAGCGGCAAAAACCGCGTTTTTTCATATTCAGTTATGGTTACAAGTTAAATGAAACGTAAACAAATGTGTTAGCGAGAATAATGCGTCACCTAGCGATAATTTTCGTATTATTTAATAAATGCTTTGAATAGGAATTTCTCGGATATTCTTCGGAGAAAAGCAAATGCAAAGATATTTTTCGAATATGTACGCGAAGGATGTCATACTCGTGGCCCACAACAAATATTTTTGCGACCCGGCCAATATATCGGCAAATAATAATATATAATAATAAAATAACATATCGACGGGAAAAAAAATGAAATGTTTACTGCTAAGTAATTAACGATAATTTATTCAGTGTTGTTAGATTACTCACAGCGAGCTGACACACACACTACTTAAATTACAAATGCGTGTGAGTAGCTTGCGTTCAGCTACCTTCGGTTTTTGGGGGACACGTGCACTCAGAACTTGTACGCATCCCCCGATAGCCGAATGTGGCCGAACTCATGGTTTCAGTTTTCCAATCATAGTTTTGTACGATATATTGGTGCATGCATGTGCATGCACTTTGCTTTTTTATTAATTATTACTTAATTCATATTGTTACAGATTTCATAGTTATTTATTTATTTAGTTTTTTTATTTAGAATTGTAATTAGATTTGCTTCATGTTGCCTTAGCAACGCAGAGGATTTTTGAAAAGACAGCTGCATTGGAAGGTTAAAAATAGAACAGCGCGTGCATTTAAAACCTAATAAATAAATAGCTCGTAATTGCTGTTGCTATACACAAAAATCCAGATATTTATATATGTATCCAGTATATACGAGAAATTAATTATAAAGCTTATAAAAGCCGAGAACAAACAACTCATCTCAGTAGTAGCTGTAGTTCTAGCGAACTGTTTGTTTACTTAATGCTGTGATTGATTTGTAGCGATTTCGCTGTGAGATAGAATTAGTTTCTCTGTTTTGAATTGATTTTTGCTAAATGTTTGACATTTTGTGATATTGTTAGAATATTTTTGAAGAAATATGTCAGCATTTTGATTTAGCTCTTTATGTAGAAAGAATAAATTTTTGTTAACTTTTTAACATTAATCGTGTTTATTCCATCCCTTTGTATTCAGTATGTCTATATCAAAACCAAGTGGTAGTAAAATTAAACGAAAATCGCTGACAAACATAGAATATTCCTAGTAAAATGAGAATTAGAATATTTTTGCTGTGAAATAAAAGATAAAATAATCTGCTTGATATGTAATAATATTATTAATGTACCAAAGTTATATAATATTAAACGTCATTACGAACAACACAAATCGAAATATAACAATTACGAAGGATTAATGAGAGAAGAAAAGTGAAAGAGCTCAAGTTAGGAGTGAAAAAGCAACAGTCCATGTTTAGTAAAGTATTGCAAGAAAGTGAAGCAGCGGTACATGCAAGCTACGTCTTGTCCGAGTTGATAGCTAAACATTCGAAGCCTTTTACTGACAGTGATTTCATCAAGGAATGCCTAATGAAAGCTGGAGAAATTGTTTGTCCTGGAAATGCGAAGGCTTTTCAATCAATTTCATTGTCTCGAAATACAGTTGCGGAAAGAGTTACTGATTTAGCCGCGAATTTAAGTGATCAGATCAAAGCAAAATCATCAAATTTCGAAAGTTTCTCCATTGCCTGTGACGAGAGCACGGACATTAGTGGCAAAGCTCAATTAGCAGTGTTTCTTCGTTCTTGTGACAAGAATTTTAACATTTTTGAGGAATTACTGGAACTAATACCGATGCCTGGTACTACCACAGGAGAAGATATATTTACTTGTGTTTTTGGACTTCTGCAGAAATACAATCTACCTTTGGCAAAATTAAATTCTGTAGCTACAGATGGCGCTCCGTCAATGACCGGGAAAAACAAGGGCTTCGTAGCATTACTAAGAAAAAAAAAACTTAGTGAAATTCACGGTTCAAACATTCATCATATGCATTGTATTATACATCAAGAAGTTCTATGCACGAAAGTAATAAATATGGAGAATGTTTTGTCATATGTAAAAAAAAGTTATAAATTTTATAAGATCTCGAGGTTTAAATCAGCGTCAATTCACTGCTTTCTTAAGTGAGTTAGATAGTGAATATTCGGGTTTGTCCTACTATACCGAGGTACGTTGGTTATCTTGCTCCAAGATTCTCAAACAATTCTGGGATTTGAAAGAAGAAATATGTCAGTTTTTAAAAACGAAAAATCAAGACGTAAGTTTGTTTTACGATCCAATATGGATACAAGATTTATCTTTCTTGGTTGATATAACCAAACACTTAACCGATTTAAATTTATCGTTACAAGGAAAAAAATCATATCATTACGAACATGTTTGACATAATTAAAGCATTCAAATGTCAACTAGTTCTTTGGGAAAAAAAAAACAACTTAAAAATGAAGATTTGACGCACTTCCCGACGTGCCAGCATGAACAAATCAAGTTTAGATGATACTTGTTCGTATCAAAAATACGCAGAAAAAATTTCAAATTTAACAACTGAATTTGAAACGAGGTTTAATGATTTTAGTTCCCTCGAAGAAATTTTTTTTTTGTTTTCTTCGATTTTCTCAATAAGTATTGACTCAGTACCCAGCCATATGCAAATGGAGGTGATCGAGATTCAATGCAATTTAAATTTGAAAGCAAAATTCATTGAAGTGGGCGTGCCTGAATTTTACAAATATTTACCAGCCAGGTTTGAAAATACTTTTAAATTCGCATATGAAATTATTTCCATGTTTGGTAGCACTTATCGGTGCGAGCAGTTATTTTCAGTCATGAAAGGTAATAAGTCTCCTATTAGAAACCGTATTAATGATGCTCACCTTGGGTCAGCGTTGAAAGTTATCACTGCAAACAAAATTTCTCCCGAAATAGGAAAGATAATAGCAGAGAAGAGATGTCAAGTATCAGGACATAAATATTAAATTTTTCTTCTTCTTTTCTAAATAAATATATATATATATATATATGTTTACTATTGTATTATTCGAAATAAATCTACGTTTCTATGGAGATTAATTTTTTTTGAGGTCCGCCTAAAGTTAAACCTTGTTTGTTTGGCCCAAGTGTACCTATGAGTTTGACATCCCTGATGTACCCCGATATGCTACTACGCATAATCCCTTAGCAGGGGAAAAATATCACGGCTTTCTCCCTAGAGGAAGTACGTCATCGGATGACAACCATAGGCTGAGGTACCATAATAAGTTGTTTATCCCTTTTTTGGTGTCAAGACTGTTATCAGAAGAATATCCGAATTTTTCAACTGTAGGACTGTGTAGAGTTGGAAGTGTATGCGTTCGCAGAAAAATATTTTTCCATCGTTTCGAGAAGTTGTATGGAAAAAATAACGGTATGAAATATAAATATTGTTGAACAAAGAGAACAGAATAAAAAAAGTAAATCCTGTCGAGTGCAGCTTTTTATTTAAAAATCAATTAATATCGCGTGAATCATTCAAAGAAAAGTAGAAAGACATCACCTTTTTTTTGCATAATTAGTGAAACTGCAAATTCGGTAACCCCAACCTCACTCGTACTCTTGCCAAAGAACATGTATGTTCTTTGCTTTCGAAGAGTAAAGCAAATAAGTATTCATTCATTCACTGGCTGGGAGGAAAGCAAATATTATAACTTCTGTTTCGTCTTCGGCATACATGGCTTCATTTCTAGAATCATAAAGCTGGAAAACCACTACTCAGTTCTGCTAAGATTATCGTTATGAATCTTTTTGTCAAAATAAAAGAGCAATTTCTAAATAAACCCGGTAATAAAATTATTACTTTTGCAGCTCATTTGACTGGCGGTTCTATTTCATGACTTGTGAAAAAATGATTTGTGAATGTTAGTACACAAACTCAAATCAGGTGACATGAAGAGCTAACTTCAGCAAGAATCAGAAGAAAAGTACATGGTTTCTTTTTAAGGAACAAAATTCCGACTGCTGCCCCAAAAGGGGCAGAAATTATAAATAAAGTAGCAGATTTGCCAACTATGTCTACTCTCATAGTAAGATATGAATAATGAATAATTTAAGGTTTGCATGCAAAAAAGGAAATCTCTAGTCAATTTTCAAGGTGACAATATTCAGCCCCGAAGATATAAAAAATATCGTGAGGAGGGTAAAATAATTTACTATACCTATGAAACATGGATAAATTTTGGATATACTAAAATCAAAATTTAGCAGGATACGATAAAAATATTTAGAGTGCCTTTCTGAGCAGCCTTAAATTAGATTTAATTGTTTCCCGAGAAAAATGTTAAGTATGCATATTGGTAACGGGAACGGATCTATTCTTGAAGCATGCGATATATTTGAAGTTTAAAAAGAGAGAGAGAAAGAAGATTTTTCACTGGAAATAAATGCAGAACACTGTGAATGCATATAGTTAAAAAAAAAAAATACTGCGTATCTTGCCACCTAACTCCTTCTTTAAGTATAAGTAAAGCAAACATTCAGCTTTGGTTGATAAGAAAAGGGAAGCTCATATGCTGAAAGCAGAACTTTTGGTCTTCATTTCTACTGTTCGAAAACAAATTGAATTGAACTGTATTGATACTGTAGTTGCTAAACACCGACAAACTATGCTCTATTTACCTTCATATCATTGCGAACTGAATTTATATGGAGTACAATGAAAAAATGTAGTATTTGAAAACAGGACATTTATAAAGGCAAAGATAAAGGAATAAAAGGATATAAATGATGAACTCCGTAAAACTGATTGAGAAAGGAATGAACTTGGTAACTGCTATGCAATGGACTAAATGAGTAAGGCACGTAATAGCAGAAGAAAAGAAAATGTGGAAATTAGATTGCCTGTTGGAGAACACCGTTAAATACTTGAAATTTAGCTTTGATGAATTTAATTTTCAGATAATTTGAGTCGGTTGAATACCTTAGTTAAAAAAATCTCTTTTCAGGACCATAAAGTAAAAAGCATAACTGTACACAATTATAAATAACATAAAATAAATATAAGCTAACATCTCCTAAAAAATCAAATATGAAAATC